GAAACTTCAGCAATGTTTGCATACTACATCAAACTATTAAAGCAAAAATGTTATATATTATAAAGATATTATATTTTATGTGATATGGGCCCTTTAGGACAAATTTTCCAATGTTTAAGACAAAAATAATATGCAAATGAGCAAAAACATTAAAACCAGAAACAACACGTACAGAATAAAATAATTTGAGTAAATAATCAGAACTATTGACCACTTTATCAGCTTATAAAAACCACTGGAGTCCTTTACTGTCCTCTATTGTGAGCAGTTAGAAACCCCTTTGACTCAGATCACACCTATGATAGAATCTGCTTCAGCAGATAGACGTTTACAAAACAGGAGTATTGGACCAATCGCTGAATCTAGACTTCTTCTGTGTAATTTTCATATTAGTGTCATGGTGGTTAAAGCCTTAAAACTAATAACTGAATAATAATCCTGAAGTTTAAGGAGTTAAAGTTGTCATAGCTGTGTTTGTCATTGTGAAACGTGAGTTGAAGCTCAAACAGAATTGGTCTTTTCACAGAACTTGTAGAGAGAATTTCTCTCTGTAATGTCTTCTGGGTTTCTCAAACGCTAGAGGGCGCTCCCGAGCGAGTCCAACATGAATGGGTTAAGATGGAGCATTTGAGCAAAATCGTAAAAAATAGTTTCTAAATGCTGAAACATTTTTAATGTAAAAGAACACGTTTACCGCCTGAACACTGAACAGCGTAAAACATTCTAACACTGCTGTTATGTTTTTAAGAGCTTTTAAACTCGAGTTATAGGAGTTTAAAACGGCACCTCATGTACGTTCATGACGTCTGTGAGCGCAAACAGCCAATGAGCTGCTCCGCTCGCCAACCAATCAGCACTCAGTAGCAGTAATGCCAGCGTTTTGCTGCCCAAAACCTGTTTTTCTGTAGAATAAATTAAACATACAGGTGAGTTTTTTTTGCTTTTTTAGTGAAATACATTCTTCCACTCTCTAAAACTAAAGGAAAGTTCTAGACGAGTGATTAGAAACTATTTTAACTTTTCGTTTTTAGATGTTTATCTCGATTTCTCCCATTCATTGAGGACTCGCTCGTGGGCATCCTCTGGCATTTTGACAGTCTTGTTTTTGATATAATAGGGGAAATAGGAAGTGGCCAGGCTCCTCATTAACTGGGCACTGGTCTTTTGTCGTAATTGTAAACAGATTTAAAAAAAGGAAATTTTCTTATTTTTGCCCCCAGTTATTTTTCACACGCATAATACATGTTAAATGTGCAATCACAAGTACTGAATGATTCCTGTACGCTTCCTAATTTACACTCAGTTCAGAGCATAAGCTGTTTTTCCACATAAGCACATTGATATGATCATATACACTACTATTCAAATGTTTGGAATCACTGTTTTCGATCATATAAACCAATTTTGTTGCAGATACATTTATACAATAATTCTAACTCTATAGAAAGCTGTAAAGCGGTGACCAACTCCCACAGATTCAATTCTTTGATGAGAAATTACTAAAAATAGGTAAGGAGAGCTTATTATTTAATAACATTTACCTTTTTTAAATCATGCCATAACGTCTTGTTGTTAATCCTTTCAGTTGTGAATAAACCGTTGATTTATGTTTTGGTGTCTAGTTTATAACATTCATCTAAGCACATGTTATTAACGAATAAAAATGGCTACTTCCGAACAGCAGTGTAGCTATGGCAGAAGTTACTCATATGTGTTTGTTCATATTCCCAGTCCTTGTACAGGATTTCCCATCATCCCCTGCTTTGTGACGTGCTACTTAAAGCTTTGCTTTATTCTAATCCTTCTTTAAAACCCAAAGTGGCCGATCTCTGGCTGTACTACGTTCTTCTGATTGATTGAATATGAAAAGCCCAGACCAACCTAAAGGGCCTGTTCAAAGCTCATATCAAAGCTTGTTCTTTTTCCCTTCTCACCAAAGCAGCCTTTCAGACATTGTCAGATAAAGCAACTTCTCCCTCCACCTCTTCTTTTTATTTCACCCATTTGAATTTCTCCGGCTTCCTTTATGGCTGTGTGTGTGTTTGTGAACGTGTAATGTGCATTCCACTCGTCTTACACCACCACCACCACCACCACCACCACTACTCCCGTCTATTTCTTTTCTATTACTCCTCTCCTTTTTTGTGCTGAAAATTGGTTTTTGCCCGAATGTTTGCTTTTTTGGCGAGTGTCGGTGGATTAGACGCACTCTATCAGGACGGAATTAAACAAACAGCTGTGGAATAATTGCGGGGGAAATGAATTCTCGTGCGGCTGAGGGGAAAGGGACGACGTGAGCTGCATGCACGCACACACACACACAGGCACACACACCCCGCCCTGCCCCGCTCCGCTCCACTGCCACAACGCCTGACGGGCACTCCAGGCTGGTGGGCGCGATGCCAATTTAGACAAGCGTGCCCGAGAACGCCATCCAGCTCCGCATGGCAGCTCCTCCTGCAGCCGGGAGGGTGTGTGTGTGCGTGTGTGTGTATGTGTGTGTCTCTGTCTCTATATGTTGGACTGTTCTGGATATGTGTGGGGGGTGAGTGTTTGGGAGTGTGTGAGAGTGTCTCTGTCTGTCTCTGTGTTTCCTTGTGCCTGTTGTGTGTCTTTATGTGTGTGTCTGTGTCTCTGTCGGTCTCTGTGAGCAGGAGTGCAGGACGGTTACAGCCCGAGTGCTCCCCAGTTCAATTTCACACACACACACAAATGGGTCATTCTATGGAAACGTCCATTTTTGTGTCCCTAGCATTTACAGATATGTCACACTTGAAAAAAATGTTAGGGTTACAATTTATTTATATTTTGAAATAAAACAGTTGTTATTTTAACAATTACACCTTCTTGAGTCTCAATTTAGCAATATTGGTTTTTAAATCAATCATATAGAATTCCAAACACCACAGAAGAGCTCGTCCCCACAGTCATGTGTAAAGGCTGAGGCCATATTTTGAGGTAAAAAACGTTTTTCTGCATTTTTAACTGCAATAATCTATACATGACTATGAAATATATGAATTAAATGACGAAGAAAACAAATACCAAATAAATATTATAAAATATGTAATGAAAGTTGTTGTCCCCAGGAGTCGTGTCACTGGTGTTACTGCATAACAAAAAATCTCTTATTTTGAAATAAAATCACACTGATGACATCACTTGACTTCCTTTTACCTGTTTTCTGAGGATCTATGAAGAAAAGCTCATGGTGAGTCCACTGTGTCTTTCAGTTATCAGAGATTTTCTCATTTAGCTCATGATTTCATATGAAGCTTTTAGCTGAAGTCACTGGTGTGACCGACTTTATTCTGAGGTAAAAATAGAATACAAATGGAAATTACATAAATTACATATTTTAGTGGATTTTCCATGATTGACAACATGTGGTTTGATGCTCTGTAGCAGCCATTTAGTAAAATGCATTGTTCATTAAAAATGTCTCTGGTGTTACCTTTATTATGTGTAACACCAGTGACGATCAGTAACACCAGTGACTCGTATGGACAGATAAAAAAGTGGACGTTTCTGTAGAATGACCCACACACACATACACAAACACACATACACGCACACAATTAAATACAGTCAGTGCTGAAGAGACAGAGGTTGAATCTGCCTCCGTGTTGGAGATTCCTGTGCATGTTTGTATGAAAGAGGACTTCAAACTCTCGGGACCTGGCTTGTTACTCACTCACTCAGACATGCCTAAGATTCTCCACAAGGGTGCGCTATTAGTATTCAGGTTGCTTTTGGTGCTTAAGAGTGGTGCTTCACCATAGTGACCCTCTGCTTCCTTGTTGTTTAAGCCATTTGTCCAGTTCATATGGATATATATACATGGATGGTGCACAGTTTTTAACCTTTACACAAAAATTTGCTTATTTAAAGTTAATTGTTTAATCTCAGTGCACTCTCAGAAATAAAGGTACTAAACTGTCACTGGGGCAGTGCCTTTAATCATAACTGAACCATAATCCACTGAAATGATATGTTCTAAGCTGTACTGACTCCACACACCCCGTCTCGTCTCCAGGCTTTTATTTTACTGTTCTGTTTTAAAACTTTCGGTTATAAAAAGGTACAAATACGAACTTTTCACCTGGAAAAACTTATTTAAGGTTCACAATCAGACCTTAAACCACTGTTGTACCTTTGAGGGAACATTTACACTGTTTGTACCTTGATGAAAGAGAAATGTACCTGCACAGAACCTTCGTTTCTAACAGTGTGCTGCCCAAAGTGAGGCCTATAGGCCAAGCTTGGCCGCCAAGAATGTTTGATTTGACTCAACAGAAGGTTGCCCATACTCCCCCACCAATTAGTGAGCAAACATTTTATGTAACTATCTTTGTAGCCACCAGTTATAGCATTCAGACAAGAGGCAATTTGGGGACCAGTGCAGTGAAGAATATCTTCTCAAGGAATTTAAAGGCAAAACTGCTTCATACCATCACAGTATTTAAGGAGCACAACATTCATCAGCATTATGAAAGCACATGTGCTACAAGTCTTTCCACATATGCACTCTCAGAAGTAAAGGTAGGAACCCTCAAGGGTCCATCTCAGTACCTTTAGTCAGGGATCATAACTGAACCATAATCCACTGAAATGATATGTTCTAAGCTGTACTGACTCCACACACCCCGTCTCGTCTCCAGGCTTTTATTTTACTGTTCTGTTTCAAAACATTCGGTTATGAAAAGATACAAATACAAACTTTTCACTTGGAAAAACTTATTTAAGGTTCACAGTTGGACCTTAAAACCACTGTTGTACCTTTGAGGGAACATTTACACTGTTTGTACCTTGATGAACAAAAAATGTACCTGAACAGAACCTTTATTTCTAACAGTGTGTTCAAGATGTGCGAAAAGCTAAGCTGTTTTGTCTTTCTGGCCCTCAGCCCACCACAAATATTGTTTCAGCCCCCCAAGACGGACATTTTGGCCAGCCATGCTCTATCTGCTGTTTGGATTCATTTTTTTTCTTTATTCCAGGACACGTTTGGGAAAGTGCTGGCAATCGAGAAATATCAGGACAGTATGATAAATAAAGGACTATTCACAAAGGACACCAAACAGATGTGAGTACCGCATTTAACAGTACAGATGTCTCCTTTTCTCTGTCACATTTTATTTATTCAATTATTTATTTTATTTATTTTTTGAATAAATGTAACCGTTTGTATTAAAAGCATGTGTGTGATCGTGTCCTCAGCTCTCTGACTGGGAGCAGATGGCTGTTGAAGGAGGAGCTGGAGGAGTTACTGGTAGAAAATATCTCAGATCATGATGTAAGTATGTCATCCACACACTGGTCACTTCAACAATAGAAAGGCCAGTGTTTTAGATGTTTGTAAGAAGTCTCCATGTACACTGTTCCCTGACTTTTACCCAGTTAGTGCATATCACTGTTGTCGGAAGTAAACCTCATATCTCCAAAATGGTAACTTTACAGGAGAAGGAAAAAACCTACTTTACTTTTAATGTAAGTCAATGGAACCAGACTTTTTTCCAAGTCATTTTGGGTCGTTTCTTTTGGGCCATTCTTCATGAAATTTACACACGGTGTAAAGGGCAACAGGCATTTTCAAATTATGTCAAGAAGTGAAAAACGGACAAATGAAGAGTTTTCTTCCGACAGCAGTGATGTGTAATTAATACACTGTTATAAGATCGATATGATAGAACACAAAGTTCTGAGTATTTAGACCTTATAAGGTCATTAGCGGTCATTTTGATCATATATACAAGCTGTTTCATCTCAATCAGACGACTCTTTATTCTCATTAGTCTTTATTCTCATTAGTCGCCTTATCTATGTATTTCTTCATTATAGTGGTCATTTTAATGCTGCACATTAGACTGTGTTTTGTCTGCTTTGTCTCCTTTTTCCTGCTCATTTACCTCACAGAATATCTGGAACGAACAGACTAGTAGTTTACAAACTACAGTATAAAACAGTTGCTGTTGAATGGGGCAGGTCGGCCAATACAGGCCATGACATGAAACCCCAACATACATGGTAGAATGTTTTGATTGGCTGCAAGTTTTTGGTAAAAGCAACACTATTTCTTGACAAAGACGGGACACTGGCATCTAGGAGAGAGTCTGGAACTGAAGATAGTTGCTTTTGTGTTTTGTTGTTCTTTGTGTTCACATGTGAAAGTAATAGATTTGAAATCCAAAGCTCTCCTTGCAGAAAAACACTATTATTGGACTATTAGTGGACAACTGGCACAGGATGGTTATGGAATACAATAAAAATAAATTCTTTATAACATAACAAAAATGTTTATTTTCATTATTCAGTTATTCTCTGTTGTGGTACATATAAGCATTTAAAATTCAAATGGTAAAAGTGACCCCAACGGCCATTGAGTAGTTACGAAATCCCTGCCTTTGAAAAGCACTTGCAGATGCTCCCTTACTGGATGGACTAAAAGCCTGCATTTCCCAAAGACGGCACAAGAGGGTGCTGTTTACAAGTTTGAGTGAATGCAGTTTTCTTCGCCGTTGCCTGCTACTGAGCGTGTTTGTGTTTGTATGCAGTACACCCGGTTCCTCCAGCTGATGGAGAGGTTGCTGTCCATGCCCTACTGCGCTATGGAGGAGGAGTTCGTGCAGCGGTTCCGCCGGCAGCTGGAGGTGCAGTCCAGCAAGCAGGAGATCCCAGCTCTCCAGCACGATGAGAACGGAGTGGCCTTCAGCCAGGCTGAGGGTATACACAAACGGCACTAACCTCATTTTTTGGGTTTACTTCACTAATTTGTTAAAATGACTATAAATCTAGTAACACTTCTCTTTGGAAATCTAGTAAAGATCAGTCCATTTGGACAAGGCTATACCAGTAGTCCACAAGTGTTACTGGGCCAGTTTGGTGCACACAATTTATCACCATCCAAAAATAAATATATCTCCATTTTTATCTGTTTTTATTTTTCTACAGTATTTGAGAACAGCATGTCTTTTACATTGTGTGGAAACTTCATAATGAATGGACCAATAAAAACGCTCCAAAATGACCTGGAATAAATTACTGTTACAAACTTGCATGAAAAGTTTAGAACATTTTTGCCTTCTCCTGTAAAATTGCTATTTTGGAGACATTTTATCTTTGGACAGCAATGATATGCGTGTCACATCTGCAGCACCTGGTCAGAATTTGGACATTCAGTTGGTATCAAAACTGAATTGGATTTGCTCTGAGAAATTAACTTGGGTTTTATGGACAGTGTCCATGAGATGGGTGAGGCTTTGTAACATAGCTAGAAAAGTCCTTTAAGGTTTTAGTACCCAATAGTTGATAGTTTTCCTCAGTATCGGGTAAAAATGCTTAATAGTCATCAAAAATCATCACTCTTCACTTCTCTTCACCCAGGCAGGAGGAAAACGGCCAATGCCAGCCTCACACTCAGAGACTGTGGATCTGGGAGCATCACAGTCAACGGCAAGAGTTACCTGCTGTATTTCCCCATTCTGCAGGACAGGTATGCATCTGCTCTTCATTGTTATTGTGTAAGTTGGGGGGGCGGGTGGGTTGGAGGCACTTGTAAACATTGAGGTGCCAGTTTATGAGGTACACTGACCTTGTACAGTTATTTATCAAGCTATTAATCAAATGCACCTATCATACAGGTGCACTGTGCAGGTTTACAATCACTGACTGTACCACATCCAACCACTAGAGGACCCTACTGAAAAATAATGAGACCATTCTAAGCATAGCAGTGACACCAACATGGAAATGGCATGTTGAGTGAGTGATGGAGGCCTGACCCAGTCCTGCACCACATTAAGTTTTGGGTCCAGAAACCATCACCCAAAATAAAACCTCCTATTTCTATTGATAGAGCCAGTTAAATGATCGCATAATAACAATAACAGCCAGCATTAGATCCTAAATATTTTTTTAATATATAATATAATAAATAATGCTTTCAAGCAACATCCCAAGTGTTTTAGTCTGGATGAACTTTCCGTGCTGTGCTGTTCTCACACTGTGCAATGCTGATATAGCAGTTAGCCTTCACCTGTTTAGTCCTAAAACTCTTTCTTCTACATCACATATTGAATAAAATGTTTTGGCCAAATAAATTAAATATAATCAATATTTTGGCTGCACTAAATTGTACTTTCTTGAATCAATTTACATTAAAAATGTGAACATGTATCTGAAAATCTACTGCTGGGACCTAAAAGTGCCTGTAGTTGCAAAAGCACCCAAATATGCCCATATCTTACATTTTTCCTTCTTGAGGTCCACTTATAACATTTGTGTGTTTTTATGTACCAAAGATGGTGATTATTCATTTTTACATGACCATTTTCCAACTCCTCTTTATCTCTTAGAATTAAACAAGCTATTTTTATGATTGTGCCTTAAGACTGATATATATATATATATATATATATATAAGTGACCTCTCTTCTGATTGGCTGCCATGGATTGAGCCTCATTCAAAAAGCTGAAACACTTCTTATAACGTCAGTCTGAACGGGCGGGTCTAACCTGCTGTTGGCTAAATAGGTGGATATATGGCTCTGTTCACATTACAAGCCTCGTTGCTTAAATCCGATTTTTTGCTCAAATCAACACTCGTTTAGGTAAGTGATTCAAATCTGTCATTAATGTGACGAACCAGCGTCCTGAAATGACCCTCATGAGCTCATCCTACTCAGTAACGTCACGTGAATGAATCACGTTCATCATCAGCACAAACTAATGAGCAGAACGAGCTTCGCTGAGAAGATAATTAACTCTGATCAGCTCTCAGCTTCATTGTTGCGTATACGTATCCGATTCGCGGCCATGTGACCTTAATGTGATGCTCAGATCAGAATTCATGTGCTTTTTTTCCACTGCGCGTGCGCCATCATTCAGCGTTACCATGGCAGCAGCGCCGAACAGAAGTTAAAGCCTGTAAACGGTGGAAAAGCAGCTCATCTCACCTTTTTCTCCTTCGTCTCGCTCTAATAATGAAGCTGAGAGCTGATCAGAGTTAATTACCTTCTCAGCGAAGCTCGTTCTGCTCGTTAGTTTGTGCTGATGATGCTCGTGATTCGTTCACGTGGCGTTACTGAGTAGGATGTGCGCATGAGGGTCATTTCAGGACGCCGGTTCGTTCATATTAATGATAGATTTGAATCACTTACCTAAACGAGTGTGAACCGTCGTGTCAGACAGATCAGCTTTGAGCAAAAAATCAGATTCGAGAAATGAGGCTTGTAATGTGAACGTAGCTAAAGTGGCTCTGGTCGGATTTGAAAAGATCAGATTTGTGTGTCCACACAGCTCTGAAAACATCAGATCTGAGTCACATTAGGGCAAAAAATCGGATTTGTGCCACTTCAACCTGGTTAAAAGCACTCATAGCTGAAACACTCATAACGTCAGTGTGAAGGGGCGGGTCTGAATTGTTATAGGCTGAATAGGTGGATATATGTAAATTCACAGAAACAGTGAATTCAAAGTGGGCTGTTTTTGCAGCTTAGTTTCCATGGATGGACTGTATGGACTGGAGAGAGAATGGTCTGTTTAGAAATTTCAGATACTACTTTAAAAGCCTTTATTTCAAAAAGTAATTTAGTTTTCTATGATACGAGCCCTTTAAATTATTCCAGCTTAGAATGAGAGACAGACGGCTCTGATGTATCTAGAGCCCTGCTCCGGTCTGTTCGTTAGTGCTGCTGTGTCAGTGGTAACCTTCACACTGGTTAGCACGCCGAGAGCAAAGCTCGTGCCTTCCGAACAGAAAATGTCAAAATGCAGCAGTTTTCCTTCTCCACGCTGTTGCGCTTTCCACCTTTATTTAATCTGGGAGGAAAGTTAATTACACAGCTGAGTGAGTAGTAGGACCGGCTCCGACGGCGTGGCCTGCTCTTATCACACCGGCTGCCTCGCGCAGGCCTAAGCGGAGAGGACGGGTGACGTTTTTCAGTGTCAGCAGGGAGAGCTGCCACGCTCTCCATACCTGGCATTGTGTACACATACATATACATGCTTAAATGCAGACTCTGTGTATACGTACTCGCGGTGTTCGCGCATCGTCTCAGTGGCACGTCTGTGGAGACGGGATTAACACGCTGTCTCAGTATGACTGTCGGTCTCAAAAGGGGGATTTGTGAAAGTGTAATGCACATAGATGAGTCGGGCTGAATGTTTGAGAGCAAGCCATGAAACGTAATAGGAACGCGCCACTCTGCTCTCTCTCACTTCGGGGGAATTGTGCCATGTTGCCTTTCAAGGTTTTAAAGAGCTCATATCATGGATAACAAAGTGCTTCAGGGTTGTTCTGTAATAAAGGAGTTTGATGTATTATGTAAACATTGTTAGTTTCAAAACGAACCGTTCACTTACCAGTACTGTTGGTTCATAAATGAAAAATTATAGTGCAAAAACTTTTTGTGTGATGTCACAAAAATTTACATATTTACATACACCCTACCGTTTCAGCCTGTAGGAGTAAGGGCCGCCCACTCAACACAATTTCAGTAGCGTTTAACCTGAATCTACTTTTTGAAAAAGGCAATCAGCACAAAGGTCCTGTGCATCTACACTACATGGACAAAAGTATTGGGACACACCTCATAATCATTGAATTCAGGTGTTTCTTTCAGTCTCATTGCTTTAGGTGTATAAAATCAAGCACCTACCCATGCAGTCCGCCTTTACACACATTAGTGAAAGAATGGGTCGTTCTAAGGAGCTCACTGAATTCCAGCGTGGTGCTGCAATAGGATGCCGCTCTTGCAACAAGTCAGTTTGTGTAATTTCTTCCCTCGTAGATATTTCCACGATCAACTGTGAGAGGTATTATTGAAAAGTGGAAGTGTTTAGGAACCACAGTGACTCAGCCACGAAGTGTCAGACCATGTAAAGTTACAGTGGGGTCGCTGAGGAGCATAGTGCATAAAAGTCACCAACGCTCTGCTGATCAGTAACTGCAGAGTTCAAACCTCCTCTGGCCTCAACATCAGCACAGAAACTTTACATTTACATTACATCACCAAGCACAATGCCAAGCGTTGGGTGGAGTGGTGTAAAGCGCCGCCACTGGACTCTGGAGCTGTGGAAACGTATTCTGTGGAGTGATGAATCACACATCTGTCTGTCTGATGGACGAGTCTGGGTTTGGCGAATGCCAGGAGAACGTTACCTGCCTGACTGCACTGTGCCAGCTGTAAAGTTTGGTGGAGGAGGGATGATGATATGGGGCTGTTTTTCAGGGGTTGGTCTAGAACCCTCAGTTCCAGTGAAGGGAAATCTTAATGCTTCAAAATCTAAATGCTACCAAGACATTTTAGACAATTGTACGCTTCTGATTTTGTGTGAACAGTTTGGGGAAGAACCTTTTTCTGTTCCAGCATGACTGAGCCCCAGTGCACAAAGCAGCTCCATAAAGGCCTGACTGGGTGAGTTTGGTATGGAAGAACTTGACTGGCCCTCACAGAGCCCTGACCTCAACCCCATCCAACACCTTTGGGATTAACTAGAACGGAGATTGTGAGCCAGGCCCTCTCGTCCAACATCAGTGTCTGACCTCACAAATGCTCTTCTGGATGAATGGGCAGAAATTCCCACAGACACTCTCCAAAATCTGTTAGAAAGCTTCCCAGAAGAGTGGAAGCTGTTAGAGCTGCAAAGGGGGACCAACTCCATATTAATGACTATGGATTTAGAATGGGAGTCATAAAGGCTCCCAATACTTTTGTCTACATAGTGTATCAGTCTTAAAGGCACAGTAACAGAAACTGCCTCTTTAATAAGAAAGAATAAGACGAAGTTGGAAAATGGTTATATTAAAGTGAATAATGAAAGAAATGTACAATAATGGCTCTTTAACAGACGTTACATCTTTCTCACACTCACACTATCTTCTACTCTCTCTCTCTCTTTCTCTTCATCTTTCTCTTTCTCTCTCTCAGGGAGCAGCTAATGTTCCCCCTACACTTTGTGGACATGCTGGGGAGGTTTAATGTGGAGGCTAGCGTGGAGGGTGGTGGTCATTCCGCCCAGGCCGGCGCTCTGAGGCTGGCCATTTCACGAGCCCTGCTCAGCTTTGTGTCAGCAGGAGAGATGGAGTCCATGAGGCAAGGTGAGTGAGGTGCACGTACAAACACCAGTGATGTAAGACTAGAAATAATAAACAGACAGTATGTGCTGTTTATACAGTTGTGCCTGCACTGTTTTATCAGGTACACCTGCACTTTGTAGGTATTTTATAACCCCAGCACTGCTGCTCTGCCTGATGCTCTGATACCTGTGCAGCACCCACTGCCATGCCACTACCCCGGCAGTTCTCAAATTAGGGTACTGCAAGGGAGCAATAAGGGGGCCACATAAAAATCCCAGAAGTTGTATTTCTACTTAGTTATTTGTTGTGAATTTAATCAATCTGCCATTATCAGCTATAGCTAAAAAGTAGTACTTGTTTAGAATTTCTTAAGCAGTATTAAAATTAAATATGTGTCAATCAGTAATTCACTTCACCAGTGAGGTTCTTGGTCATGTCATGAACTCAAACATCTCAAATGTGTGTTTTTGACTATTTTATGATTCAAGAAAACCTGAAATACATACATGTTTTTGATATTTTGCAGCAACATAATGACAAGAAATAGCCTACATGCTTCGAAGTCAGTGCTGAGTGGGTCAGAGTTTAAAAAATTAGTATGGAGTCTCTGCAGGGAGCAAAAAATACTCCTTTACTAGTCCTGCTTACGGACTAGCCGGGCTGGCTAAAGGGAAAATAACATTCTTGCAGTTACTATTTGATGGATCCATTTCTTCTTCCTCTTAGCATTTTTACTGCGTTCTCAGTAATAAAAAAGCACATTGAACTTGATGTGAAGGTTTCAGGGCGTTAGATCTGTTAACATCTTGGTGTGAAAAGACCTCACAATGATCACAAACACTGAACTACAACATGAAACATGAAAAATTCTGCTTCAGATGGTATTGTTTTCCTGGGTGTCAGCACTACTGCATGTGTACATTAAGAAAACCAGGACTGGAGTTTCAGATAGTGGATCGGTGCACACAGTGCTCATGTATACAAAATGGAAAGAAGAAAAATACAATAAATTCTGCTTGTAGATTTCATTACTGTTATCGCCGATTATAAAATCAATAAAAAAAATCAATAAGAGTTCCCGGTTCAAGTGCAAAGTGCATCTGTATCAGGGATCACCAGTCCTCTCCACCAAGGACCAGTATATCTGCAGGTTTATATTCCAGTCAAGCAGAAACACCATATTGCCATTCCAGCCAAGTAAAGATATCAAAAAGAGGTCAGTTTGATCAGATTGGATGTTATCTTTGAGTCCCGATTGTGCATTATTGCCTGCAATAACATCTCCAGACATCTATAATTACCGTTAAACTTGCATCAGCATCAAACACCACGGAAACTAAAAGGCACACAGTTGGCTAGAATCATATCATATGGAAGAGTTTTCATTAATTACACCAGCAAACGTTACCGTAATCACAAAAATGAGGAAAAGCCATGCTTTTTTGTTTCATGGGATGAATCAGTTTTAGGCTGACATTAAGCCATGAGCCCTGCTAGCCGTCAGCCGTTCTCTTAACTCATTCATTATCTAGCCCAGGGGTGTCAAACTCAGCCACTAAAGTGGCCATATTAAGAAATCTCAACAAATCTGTGGGGCCAGAGAAAAAATGTTTATATTTCATGTTTAATTAATGTTGCTGTAACACGAACTGGCCACTGTTAATTCAGAATACGCAAAAACTTCAGCAGTAAATTCTTGAAATATTACACAAATACTTGAAATATTTAAAATTGAACTGTCCCCAGGGGCTCACAGTCTCTTAAACCTACCTATTTGCTTGAACTAGACACCTGGCTTCCTTTCTTTGCTGCAGTTCATTAAGACTTGGGTTTCTGAGCTGCTGAGCTGACGTTTAGTGTTCATATTGGCGGAACTGCAGCTGAAAGGCAGCCAGTGTGTTTGGTGATATGACTGTTGTGGAATTGCGTAGAATTGAGGTGTAACCGCTGTCCCATAAACTGTTGTTGGGGTAGGAGAGTCAGAGTGCACATTACGTTGCAGTGCATGCTGGGGACTGTAGTGCAGCACATTGTGAAACAGGCTAATATTAATAGAAAATTAAAATACTTTCGCGGGCCAGATCTGACTCACGGGCCTTGTGTTTGACATGTGAGGTCTAGCCTTGACATAAACAGTTAGATTGGCTTATTCTGGCTAACCGAAGATTTCTCCTTCGCTGACTCAGCTCGTCAGCCTCCCCTCACAGTGTCAGACAGCTGGAATAATATAAAAGCAGTGAACCACACAGCGCACTGTGGCTACATTATCTGTCAGAATGCTTTATTAACTAACAGTGTACAAACGATGGTTCTACAAGCGCCACTGTCGCCACGTTGACCGGTGGTATTTCAACAGAATGGCGGTGGCAACAAGTGTGGCGTCAATCAAACGGTATCTAATATAAGGTGCTTCTGCTTAGTTCTGATAAACCTGCAGCCACACAAGCTCTTTGTGGAAAAGATCTGTGACCCTTGACCTATAAAGCAGGTGAGCCTGATGAACTGTCAAATGGGTTTAGGTACAAGGTAAGTATACATAATAAGCAGTGCAGCATATAGAGGCAGCTTATTAACTGTCCCTCAGCAAAAACGTTAAATCCCGACAAACACTGTTTAATTTTTTTAAATATGGCCTCTGGCTGCTTTCAGCTGGCTTGCTGACGCCCGACCCCAGAGTGAAGGAGAGAAAGAAGCCTGGTCAGGCGGGGGCGCGCAAGAAGTTCACCTGGAAAAAGCGATGAGCTGCCAGAGGTGCTATGGTGCTGCATACATCTTCACTGTTATATTCCAGAAACAAGATCCACTGTAGAAAGACCTTAAGGCCATTTTGGGTTTAAAACTGTTGGAATCTGGTCATTTGATCGTGGTTAAAGATGTTGTGAAACATGAAATTATGTTTCTTTGTGTTTGTGCATATCAGTAATAAACGAATGTTTTCATGTACCGTTTGGTGATGGTTCCAGTTTGTCCTGCTTCTTTTTGTATTTGTACCACAAGAGGGCAACCAAAACCTAATGATATTCTCCAGTCTGATCATATGATTCATGGAAGCACAACTACTAGCAGGCTGCAAAGGTGTTTGACCAGCCCCATTCATTGGGGGCTTAATGATCTTTATGTGCTGTGAGATTTACCCAAAATTGAGCTTATATTGCACAGATAAGGTTGTGTCTAAACCAGGGGTCAAATGCTAAGAAGAGCCATTTTGTCCTTAGACCACCTTGGGAGCCACAACATTTTATTTCCATTTTACCGTCTTGGCTGTAAATGTGTCTCAGTATGTGCTGATGTACTAGTACAGGCTAAAAATATATAATATAAACAAAAAACCCAGACCTGCTTTTCTCTGCTTTAAGCTTTAGCTCAGCTGTAGCCGCTTTTCTCACATCTCCAGCAGGAAACTTTTCCTCAAAAGTAGAACAGTTTCTTGTAAAATGTCTCTCAACATTCAACTTTTTTTTTTTACGAGGCTGAAGTCACTTCTCATTCGCCAGATTCTTGTTTGAATTTTTCTGCTCCACCTTAAATGGTACCTGAGGTGCCAGAACTCATGCACTATTTAAGGTGGAACTGGAACAAGAAGCTGGCGAATGAGAAACTGACTTCAGCTTCATGACTTTTTAGTGTTTGATAGTTTCTCATATCATATTATTATTATTATTATTACTATTATTATTATTAAGGGTTAGTTTAAAGGTTATTGGTAAATTGTTGCCGTAGGGCAACAATGTGCAATTGTGGAAAGCACCATAAAATCTAACAAAAAAAGCACTATAAAATCAAAATTTTCTCTAAAAACATCCTTTTATTGAAAACAAGACTAAACAAATCCTTACATACCTAAACCTACATACTTAGTAAAACGTATGACCCAGTATTTACAAATATTGGACAGTAATAAAATTTCAACTGGTGTTTGGAATGTATGGTAATAATAACATTATAATAAGTTTTCCTGGTCATGTGATGTCCTAAAGTATTTGTCCTTTCAAAGTAAAAGACCCTTTTTTCCACAACTAAATAGCAAAAACACAGGTTTTTAATTACTGCCTTTGAGTAAAATTGAGATAAAATAATTGTTGGCATATGGAAACACCATGCAATAGAGGGTCAAGCTGCACTCCAGTCATTGCATGGATTTGGTCAGTTACACCTACAGCACACCTGATTTCATTTAATGATGGACTGATTAACCAGTGGGCGGCACACAGCAAGAATGGCCTGGGTTCGATTCCCGGCTGGGCGACCAGGGTCCTTTCTGTGTGGAGTTTGCCTGTTCTCCCCGTGTCTGCGTGGGTTTCCTCCGGGTTCTCCGGTTTCCTCCCACAGTCCAAAAACATGCAGTCAGGCTGATTGGACATGCTAAATTGCCCCTAGGTGTGTGTGTGAATGTATGTGTATGTCTGTCTGCCCTGCGATGGACTGGCGACCTGTCCAGGGTGTATCCTGCCTTCTGCCCAATGACAGCTGGGATAGGCTCCAGCACCCCACCGTGACCCAGAAGGATAAGCGGTTTAGATGATGTATGTATGTATGTATGTATGATTAACCAGTCTGGGTGTTGGATGGAAACTGTAAATCCTGGACTGCTAAGGTTTCAAGGTTTCTGAATGGTCAGTCAACACATCGACACGTTAACAGAACAAATACTTATTTCCAAGATAAATGGCTTTACATCCCTGCTAGACCAGCATATGTTGTATTTTTGATGCTGGTATGCTGGTCAACCAGCACGACCATGCTGGGGTGACCAGCTAAACTAGCACCAGACCAGCATAAACCAGCAAAGACCAGCTTAGACCAGTATGAAATGCATGCTGGTCTGTGCTGTTTTTTTCAGCAGTGTGTTTTCCCAGGATATGTGATAGTTGAGTATCAGTACAGTCTAGATTATAATAACAGACAGTAGCGCGAGCTGAATATATTTAGTAAATGACTGGGCTGCGCTGCTTCTGTTGAGATCACAACGTCACCGTTCACGAGAGCGAGCCTGTGCTGCGGGGGCGCGCGATCATCCCACTGCGAGTGGGCACAAGACCGAGCCAACACGAGCACAGCGCCGCAGCTCAGTGTCGCCTCGCTGTTTATTCTCTAATCACGTCCAGTCCGGTCCGGTCCAGTCTCGGAGATGGCGGACTGACCCACAGAACCGGACCGAGGATCTCCGTCCGAATCAGAGGGAGCTACGCAGGAGGGCACAGGTGAGTCTGACCGGCAGAGGATCAGGCTGGACCATAAACAACTAGCTGAGGGAAGAACTCCGAGTATCGATCATCTATTGACTGGTCATTCAGCGGTCATTCAGCCATATTACATCATTTTCTTTATTATAACAGTCATTCTGCACTCTTTATAATATGGTTCTTCAAGGGTTCTTTAGGAAAGGCAATGGTTCTATTTAGAACCATGAGTTCTGTATAGAGAACCATGTCATGTTTAAATGGTTCTTTGCATGGTGACGTGGTTCTTCAGATTGATGGAGAACGTGTTGTATATGGTTCTTTACAGAGCCTTTTTGAAAATGGTTCTACATCGCTCCAAAAAGGGTTCTTCTATTATCACAAGCTTGACAATGTAACAGTAGAACCCTTTTGGGTGCTAGATAGAACCACTTTAAAAAAGGCTCTATATATAGAAATGGTTCTTCAGACTGATGAAGTATGTGTTGTATGTGGTTCTATATGGCATCAAAAAGGGTTCTTCAATTAATACAAACTTGACAATGTAACAAAAGTAGAACCCTTTTTAGGGCTATATAGAAACCAGGATCTATATATACAGAAATGGTTCTTCAGATTGATGGAGAATGTGTTGTATGTGGTTCTATATGGCACCAAAAAGGGTTCCTCTATTATTACAAGCTTGACAACCTTACAACAGAAGAACCCTTTTGGGTGCTAGATAGAACCACTTTCAAAAAGGTTCTATGTATGGAAATGGTTCTTCAGATTGAAGGAGAATGTGTTGTATGTGGTTCTATATGGCACCAAAAAGGGTTCCTCTATTATTACAAGCTTGATAACAACAGTAGAACCCTTTTTGGTGCTATGGAGAACCAGGTTCTGTATATATGGAAATGGTTCTTCAGATCGATATAGAATGTGTTGTTTATGGTTCTATATAGAACCTTTCTGAAAAACCTTCTATATAGCACCAAAAAGGGTTCTTCTGTTGCTACAAGCTTGACATCATAAAAATAGAGGAACTCTTTTTGGTGCTATATGGAACCATATACAACACATTTCCTATCAATCTGAAAAACCATTTCACCATGCAAAGAACCATTTAAGCATGAATTAGAATAGAAATAGGATGCATTGTTCTAAAAAGAACCCTTGCAGAACCATCTTTTTTAAGTGTGTAAAAAGCAGTTGATCTTTTTTGTGTCCATGCTGGTTGAGACCCTCTTGCCTTCGTGGTTATGAAAAACATCTTGGATGTGTTTTTTTGTATTTACTCAGAATAAACAAGGAAAAATGTCCCACGTATCAACAGGAAATGACGTTTCAGTAAACACACAATCCACCTGGATCAAGACTGGGTGAAGGTGCTATTTAGAGATGGCACAATGCTGTCAGTCGAGACTGATCCGATATTTTTCTTTAAAATGCCCAAATCTTATTTTTTCCTGTATTTTATTTATTCCTCAGATAAAAACTTTGTGTGGTTTTATGTACCATAAATTGTCATAATTCATTTTTACATCACCATTTTCCAGCCTCTCTTTATCCCTTACAATTAAACAGGCTGTTTTTGTTACTGTGCTTTTAATGGTAATGTATGTAAATGAGCTCAGTCCTGATTGGCTGCCGTGGATTCTGCCTCATTCAGCTTCAACATGAAAGTTCAGGGCTAACCTGCTGTCGGCTGTGTAGACGTAAATATTTACATATCCTCCTATACAAGTGTGATATATCACTGCTGTCAGGACAAAACCTTGTATCTCCATTTTTGTTGTTTGTTGTATGTCGTCCTTTACATTGTGTTTAAATTTCATGATGAATGGACCAAAAGAAACGACCCAAAATTATTTGGAGAAATGTCTGATTCTATTGACTTACATTAAACGTAAAGTATGTTTTTTCCTTCTCCTGTAAAGTTACCATTTTGGAGATACAACATTTTGGTCCCACAGCAGCAATATGCAAATGAGCTCAGTTCTGATCGGCTGCCCTGTATTCTGCCTCATTCTAAAAGCAGTCAGAACTGAAACACTCCTTATAACTTCAACATGAATGGCTGGGACTAAACTGCTGTAGGCTGTGTAGGCAGATATATGTAAATGCGTTGATTTCACAGAGTAGGTACTATTTGGGTGGTGGATCATTCTCAGCACTGCAGTAACACTGACATGATGGTGGTGTGTTAGTGTGTGTTGCGCTGGTCTGAGTGGATCAGACACAGCAGTGCTGCTGGAGTTTTTAAACACCTCAGTGTCACTGCTGGACTGAGAATAGTCCACCAACCAAAAATATCCAGCCAACAGCGTCCTGTGACCACTGATGAAGGACTAGAGGAAGACCAACACAAACTGTGCAGCAGCAGATGAGCTATCGTCTCTGACTTTACATCTACAAGGTGGACTGACAAGGTTGGAGTGTTTAATAGAGTGGACAGTGAGTGGATACAATATTTAAAAACTCCAGCAGCACTGCTGTGTCTGATCCACTCGAACCAGCACAACACACACTAACACACCACCACCACGTCAGTGTTACTGCAGTGCTGAGAATGATCCACCACCCAAATAGTACCTGTTCTGTGAGGGTCCATGGGGGTTCTGACCACTGAAGAACAGGGTAAAAGGGGGCTAACAAAGTATCAGAGAAACAGTCTGTAACTGTAGAACTACAAAGTGCACCTATATAGTAAGTGGTCACAATGTTATGCCTGATCAGTATATATATGTCCTGAGAGGTTAACACATTTTTGAAAGCTTAAATTGAATTTTTGAATGCTTGAATTCGTTAAAATGATTGGCACCCCAATCATTTTGAAATTTTAACAATGTTTACATACTACATCAAACTCTTATAGGTCAAAGAAGTAAGAGGTTTTCCTCATTATATTACTACTAGTCTTGAAGCTATTTTTAATTATAGGTTAATTTCACTTAATACGATTATCTTAAAGTAGGCTATTATGCTCAAACACTACTTACCCCACTGGAAGAAATACATAACTAACAACAAGGTGCTTTTTTAGACTATATTTGTTGCAGGATTGGACAGATTCATAAATTTTTTGCCTCTAATATCCAATCCAGCATTTTCCGCTGACATCAGGCTGATACCGATGCCCAGTGATACCAATATACCATCTCTAAAGCTACTGCAAAGCAATGGGGACTAACAGGCCTGTTCAACGCAGCACAAGCTTACATTTCTGTTCTCAGTCTACAGCCGTTGGTGAAGTCCTATTTTTGGACATGGCTCACTTTCTCACACCCTAAGAGCTTTTGTTGCCATGGAGCTGCTCCCCAGTTTCCTTGGTAGTGGGGACAGGAATCCAGCACCTTCATTCCTTCACCACACAAGACCTTTCCAGTGAGTGTTTTTCGACTGTCCTCCACATCTGTGTACTTCGTGTTTTCAGGGTACTGACTCATCTCTCAAAGAGGAGTGGATGCTCCAGGAGTGCTCTCCATGATGCCGTGGCTCATCATCATCATGGACATCGTGTACCGCACCCTGGTCTGTGGCCATGACAACAGTAAGCAGTCTGGAAGTCTCTCATTCAGTTTCATGTGTAGCTTGTAAATGTTATATGCCATTCATACTGCCTGCATTTATTTGATTTGTAAATGATTGTAGAGACACATAAAACAGAATTCCACCATTTTTTTTTATTAAAATCATTGCAACGTTCAGTCATTGAGGTGTAAACAAAGTCATTTAGAGTGGTTTGAGGTGAAATGGTGCAGTATAGAGAAAATCTTTGACTTAGATTTCTTTAGCGTGGTGGTGATGGGAACCAGGGGTTGCAATGTCTACCACACAAGTATAGCCTTTTTTATTTACTATCCAAAACAACCAGTGAATCTACATTTGTCTTCTGGGACACATAAAGCGGCACTACCCCTAACTCAACAACACTGGACAGATCAACATGCTTGCAGGAGGACACTAATTGCCAATTCTGTTACATCAGCCAGCAGATGGCCACACTGGCTAGCACTGCACCAAGTGATGTGGGGACAGGGCGGTCAGTTATTCCCCTCTTGGTCTCCCAGCCACAGATGGATGTGGCATCAAACTTGTCCTCTCCCGATGACCAGACCAATACTTAGACAGTTGTCTTCTTAATTATCTGGGGCAGTCGTGGGTTGGAGGTTAGGGAATGAACCCTGTCACCAGAAGGTCGCCGGTTTGATCCTCTGAGCCAACAGCACGTGACTGAAGTGCCCTTGAGCAAGACACCTAACCCCCCAACTGCTCCCCGGGTGCTGCGGATAGGACTGCCCACCTCTCTGGGCATGTGTGCTTACTGCCCCCTAGTGTGTGTGCATTCACTAGTGTGTATGTGGTGTTTCACTGCACAGATGGGTTGAAATTTCCCTGTTGTGGGACTAATAAGGGTCACTTAATCTTAATGGCAAAACAGTGATAAATTTGATAATATAATATTTCTTTAGGTAGAGATTTGTTTTACAACACCCTGCATGTATCACTCCTCCACCAACGGCTTAAAAAATACATCAGGGAAAAAATTCATTCACATACCGATCAGTTGGCAAATTTTTTTAGGGCCGATTCCAATTCCTATTTCTTTACAGCCAAATACAAAAAACATATATCTGCCTAAACAAAAAATAATAAGCTGGCTGATTGCCAATTCATGTTTTGAGCAAACATCTAGCAGATTCCAATCTTGATTCCGATTGTGCCTCCCTCTCATACTTATTTGATGTAATAAATTTATGTGGCCTTTAGAGGCATAAAGGCTTGGGATGTCTGGTTCCCATCACCATGTTAACATTTCTACGTTTCTCTAGAACGATACATCACCCATGAACCCTTTTAATGACTTTGTTTACATCTTAGAGCAGATATTTTGGAAAAATCAGTGGAATTCCTCATTAACTGGTGGTATTTCTCTCTGTGTCCTGTTCTCTGGCTTCTAGACACAGTAAAATGGACAACATAGCAAAACAGGAACAGGACACCTGATTTATCTGGACTGGACTGGCAGCTTCACCACCATAATGATCTGCAACAGCAGCTCTGGATGTGGCTTACCGGAACGCCACATGATCAAATATGTGATGAATGTGACAGAACTCCCGGGAGCCTCAAACGCCCCTTTACCCATCACCCTCAGGGCCGCCCTTTCTGTTGTAATGGTGGTCATCATCATTGTTGGTTTCCTCGGCAATGCTGTCGTTTGCCTCATAGTCTACCAGAAGCCGGCCATGCGGTCCGCCATAAATCTGTTGCTGGCCACCCTGGCCTTTACAGATATCATGCTGTCCCTTTTCTGCATGCCTGTGACGGCTGTCACCGTGGTGTCCGATGACTGGCGCTTTGGGTTGGACTTCTGCCGCATCACAGTCATGCTCTACTGGCTCTTCGTCCTGGAAGGAGTGGCTATCCTCCTGATAATCAGCGTGGATCGTTTCCTCATCATCGTACGGCGGCAGGACAAGCTGACGCCGAGTCGGGCCCGACTGTTGATCGCCGGCTCCTGGCTGCTTTCCTTCTGCCTGGCCCTGCCCTCAGTGGGCAGCTGGCCATCCCTGGGCCCCAAACCCCAGCGCTGCATCCTGGGATACATCGAGTCTCTTCCGGACCGTGGGTACACGGTTCTGCTCGCAGCTACCGTGTTCTTTATACCCGTAAGCGTCATGCTGTTTTCGTACTTGCGCATCCTCAATGCTGTCCGTCGTAACGCCTTGCGCATCCATAACCACGCCTGCCCCGGACCTGACCAAGGGGGTAAAGCAGGTTTAGCGGTCCTGAGGCGGCCCCCGCAGCTCAGCGTGGACATGAGCTTCAAGACACGTGCCTTTACCACCATCCTCATCCTTTTTGTGGGCTTCTCCGTCTGCTGGCTGCCACATACGGTGCTCGGCCTGCTGGCTGCCTTCAGCCAGAGGTTCTACCTGAGTGCCGGGTTCTACCCAGCCAGCGTAGGGGCGCTGTGGCTCAGCTACCTAAAGGCCGTGTTCAACCCTGCTGTGTACTGCTGGAGGATCCGCAAGTTCCGTGAAGCCTGCGAGGAGTTCGTGCCCAGGAGCTGCAGGCTGCCCAGGATCCCAGGACGCAGCAGGCGCAGGGTCCGGCCCTGCAGCATCTACGTCTGTGCAGAGAGCCAGTCAGCTATGTGAAGCATCTGCAGAGCCAGCCTCATTTAGAGAAACATCAAATTTAGATTCAATCTGTTCCTTTAAGTCTAAACAGCCAGTCACATCCATCCAGAACTGTTTCTTCTGAAAGCATCACAGCAGAACCATTAACAATGGTAGAGTGACAATCTCTTTAAACATGCTTTCTAATAGATAAGATCTTAAAAAGAAAAGCATACTTGAAAAAAAAAATAATAATAAAATTTACAGATTTTTCCCTTCCCTCACATGCAGTCAATCTATGGAGCCCCTAAGTTAAAAAGGAAAAAAAAAGTTAATGACATTGCGTTCCCTCCCAAAATATTTGCTTGTCAAGCAAACATAGGACCAGAGGTGCCAGATGACACTGCCTACATTAGAGCTTTCTTTTCAGCATAGCTAACGTTAAAAGCTGTTTTCCCAGTTTATTCAGCTGTTGTTCTCTGCAGTTTCTGTTAATGTAGCTTTTACTGTACAAGGACCCTCAACCTCAGTCTCAGTTTGAGTCACTAACAGCAGAATCATGTCTGATTTTGAGAAGCGACACGTCTTTATATTTCAATCCAAGATCAACGTAAATTCAATGAGCCGTTTCATGTCTGAGCTTAAACGAAGCACAGCTTTTGCAAGCGTCAAGCGTTTGCTTCGTAATGCAAAACATTTGCAAGGGAACGCAATGTCATTCACCTTTTTTTTTTTGTTTAACCACGGCCCCTTAGGGGCTCCATATCGATCAGACGTTTTTGGTACCCCAAATTTGCATCTTTAGTTTTGCACTGGAGCTGAGGCTAATGTAGCTAACAAGAAATAAAAGCTTATATCCCACCAATTAGCACCTGCCAAACTGCATGCCTAAACCACACCACAACTGCTTCAAACTGTCAGGTCATTAGAGAAAATTATAATAATTCAACTGTCAGAATGTAAAAAGTCATGCAGAGTGGTCTGGTGTGAAACTACAGTGGGAGTGATAAGATCCAAGTATCATGATGTCTACAACGCAGCACAAGTACAGTCACTTCATTAACTTTCCAAAATGACCACTAAACCAACATGTTTTTCTATGTTGATAATAGTAAAATAGTGTTAAATCCAAAAAAAGAAGTTTCTTTGTTTCTCTTTCTATTTTGCCTTCAAGTAACTTTAAAAGGCCAAAATCTTAGAAAATATCATAAAACAATGCTTGCAATGTATCCGTTTCCATTTCATGTAATAGCTTCTGGGAGGGAGCCTTTAAAGGCAGACGTCTGGTTCCCATCCCCACCACTGTGAATAATTCTTGGTAAGTTTCTCCACAAAGAAAATTTGAAATTTTGACATTTTTCTGTTGGCCCTCTTGAAATAATTTCACATAAGCCTGCTTATGTAGTTTCTGACCGTATATCACTGTTACCTTTTTAAAAAAAAAGCACACCACTACTTCTGAGCAATGCGGTTCTAGATAACAGTACGTCATAACAGCATTAGCACCATTAGCCTCATAGTGTCTGAGCAAAACTAAAGAAGCAAACCTCTGACACCAAACATGTCTTGTCTGACTGACCACATCTGGATTAAAGGGGATGTTGTGGTAATTGTACTTTTCACCCAACTGTTCTGGTAAATCTTCAGTGCTTTTGAGGTCTTTCAATACTAATCTGAAGGTTTACCACATACGTTCAGTCATAGATACACATACCTAGATGCTGCGTTGGATCCCGTCAGGCACGTCAACGGCGCCGCCATTTTGGGGCGGTCAACATCGCTGCTGGACAGCATTCAGTACCATTACAGAGCGGCAGTTTAAGAAAGATACTGTCCAAAATTACACTATTTCAAGAATATTGCTCTCAGAAAGTGGGAGAGGATTATATAACGGAGGGAACGCAGTGATCCACACTCATGTCTGTGCGATGTTTATGTGTAGATGTGGTTGTGTGGTTGGTGATGCACAGAAAAGCAAGTGATTGTTTTTCCTCTGGTTTTATATTAAGCTTATTTTATTTAATAGTCTATTCAGGGATCTTAACTTTATGTAGTGGTTATTTATTTACAGTGATGGTTAAAGCTTTGGAGTGGTAAGTTATAGCGTTCCTAGATCTGTGTAGATATTCATATTAGATTAATGTTAGCACCTTCTTACACAAACCTGAAGTCAGCTTCTTATTGGCCAGCTTCTTGTTCGAATTTTCCCGTTCCACCTTAAATGGTGCAGCTTCAGGCACCAGCAAGTGACTGCTGCACCATTTAAGGTGGAACAGGAAAACTCCAAGAAGAAGCTGGCGAAAAGGAAGCCAACTTAAGCTTCGTCCTTCTCAGGGTGTGGGGTTACTTTATTTTAATGTGTATTAATATTAGAAGTGATTCGCACATTGATGGATTTGCTGATGTGTGCGAGATTATGTTTCTACCGGAGCTCGCGCTGAACTTTTTAGGGTCAGGTTCAGGTGCAGACTGAATACTTTCCTGCTGGTCCGAACGGCTAATCAGCACAGCCAGTTATTAAAGTAATAAAAGCTACCGAGAGCAGATCCGTGCAGCCTGGATTAATCTGTGTCTGAGGATTATAACAAAACAGATTTGGTGAAAATCGGTTGAGTAATAAGGAAGTTGTGGCTGATTTAATCCTGAGACTCTTCGTCTCTCAATACAAGTGAATTTGTTCACAAGTGGATCTTGACCTCTCCAACATGGCGAAACGCGCAGACGTATCGCCTCAGATAGAGAACAACAGACAACGCGGCATCTAGGCATGGATATCTATGCGTTCAGTTAGGTTAAAAATAAGAAGGAAAAAAAAAAAGATAAATAATGGAGCCTGCTGTTTAACTGAGCCATAAAGGGGAATTCCCCGTAATATAAACAAACAAATTTCTACATAAATGTTGTGATGTAAACAGTCATTCAGAGTGGTTTGATGTGAACTGGGGCTTTGTAGAGAAAATGACTTCTATACAGTGGTGGTGATGAACCAGGATTCACAATGTCTACAATGCAAATATGGCCATTTTATTCACTATTCTAAATCACCCAGTGTCTGGGTCTTTATATGTAATGTTGATGATGGTAGAAAAATAAAGTGGTAAATCTATAAATGAATAAGTACACAAATAAATTATTTTCTTTGGGGACTATTTTGCCTTTTAACTCCCTGCATGTATTTAGTTCTCCAAAGCAGTGCATTTCATATCAAACTCCTTTGAATGTTTACATCTGAACCACTGAATTACACAAAACATTTTGGTGGAATTCCCCTTCAACCAACCACAACTGTACAACTGAAACGCTCAAACACTGCAAATGGACACTGTATGATGCTTCAGATCAAGACTCATCATCGAGTTGCACAGAAATTCACAAGAACCCCAGCAATGTAAGCATAGTCATGTTTATTAAAATGGACGTCTTTACATTTTGTACATTCCACCTACACAGGCATTGATTTACAAAGCAACAAACATTTATAAATACAGTATGTACACACAGGTATATATGCACTTATAAAATACTTGAGTGGACAGAAGGACCAAGAACTCCATCTGCGGTAGTAGTGGGCAGAGGGCTGTAGTTGGACGTTGTCTTTAGGTAGTCGGGGCGAGCCAAGTGGAGATTCGGTTACATGTATGACCGGGATAAAAGCTGCTTGGTAAGTCCAGACGAAACATTCAGGGCCTGGTTAATCAAAAACATCACGGACATGACGATCGCCATAAGAGGTGAAGCTAGATGTCTATTGACGTTCACTCCAACACCTGAAGTGATCATAACACTGCTTTGGAGAAACGAGGGGTCTGTCTCACGAAGCACTTTCAACTGTTATCCTAGGTTTAAATACTCAAACTATGATTAATCCTTTTGTGCAACTTTACATAAAAGAGTGACATTTATGGAGAACAGCCCATCATGTGAAATATAAAGTCAAGGCAGATATATATAGTGCTCAAAAGTAGTGTTGGGACACTCTGAAAACAATGTATGTATTGTTTATGTACTACTTTCGAAGATAAACGTATCATTTATTAATTCATATCCATCACAAAAGTTATAACCAGTCACGTTTTCTGACTGAAACTTAAAGGATCCCGATAATTAATAAGGCAAGAAGAAGTACTGAAGCATTAGTGTCTCTTTCCTTTATGTAGGTCAGTGTTTAGTATTGTACTTAGGTTAGTATTTTGCTGCATAGCTCTTTATTTGGTTGACGGGTAAAAGTCTTCTAGGCATGAAGTGCAGAGTTTGCACAACTCATGCTCAACCAGGCTTGTGAGACGTTCTCTTTCGGATGGTTAGAGCCTGGAAAGCTTTTGAACACGTAGTGAATCTTCATGTCTTCAGTACATTTTTCTCTCTTAATTTTACAATTTTCAGTGCATCTGTAACCGACATTTTATTACCAAGAGATGTGACATTAATTGAGCATGATACGTAGAGTCAGGTGTGTTGGATGATCTGTTGGAGATCTCTGGTTTGAATCGTGTGCATTTGGATTAGTGTCCCAACATTTGCTTTGAAGTAAAATGGGGGGCTGAATTTCCACACTTTCCACAATGCATTAACAAATTTAACAATTCTAATAAAACAAATGATAGAAGTGTCCCAAAACTATTTTTGAACACTGTATGTAAATCTGCAGAAAGAAAAGCACTTAAACACAATTCAGCCACAGCATTGGTGCTTATTGGAGTCATAATTTGTTATATCGCTGCTGGCGGAACAAAACCTTGTATCTCATTTTTTGTCATTTTTCAGTTTTTGATTTAATTTGAAAATGTCTGTTGCCCTTTACGATGTGTGTAAATTTCACGATGAATGGACCGAAAGAAACGGCCCAAAATGACTTGGAAAAAAGTCCATTTGAAAGGTTCCATTGACTTACATTAAAAATAGAATAGGTTACCATTTTGGAGATACAAGGTTTTGTTCCGACAGCAGAGATATTCTTATCTATGTTGTATGATTTATATTTTCAATTTTCCATGTGATTAATGCCAGAAAACCACAGAGGAAAAAGAAAAAAAGTGACCAAAATGGAGAGGAGGGGTCCGTCTCCGTCAGAAGGCTGTCCCTGATTGGTCCAAGAGCTGTTTTGTTATCCGTAATCCTGAACTTGGCTTGGCCTGGAGGTTAGGTGTGCCACAAGCGATTCATCCCATTAAAAAAACAAAAGTAAAAGTAATAAACCGTCACAGAAAATTCTGAGTGAGATCGAGCTGAGCTTAAAAAGTAGCTGGCAAAGCTGGAAGCGCTGCTTCGTGAGAAAGACCCCAGGCACTAGATTTCACAAATAAACAAAATCCTCACAGTGCACATAAGCTGGAATACAAAATAACAGATCTGAAGGTTTGATTTTAATTGTCCCTTTTGTTGCTGTGCACATACTATTTTTGTCCATTTTATGCATGACAGTTTACTTCATTTTTTGTATAATAAAATCTGCAGATGACTACATCCAATAAAATATTCTCAACCAGGCTCTTCTCTTCTGGTGTAGAGCTGGTTCTGGAACAGTTTGTAAGCCTTGTCTTTTTCTTAGCTGGTGGACATCTCCACCATTTCCTGGACCCTCTCAGGTCAGTTTAGTATTAAACCTGTAGGCAGTGTTTATTCTGTGCTTGAGATTTGATAGCGAGAACCTTCTCCAGCAGCTCCATCCTGGGACTCTCACGCTGCTTCATGCCTTCCATAAGCTACACGCATATGCGATAATTTCCGAAAACGTGTTCAAGTATCAGGTGGCACGTCGTTATCTCGCCAAGACCTTTGCTACTCCTAAAAATCACAATGCTCCAGTAAGAAAAATAATATTCTTCATCGTTTTTGATCAGAATTAGTCACAGCTTAGCATTCATAAGACACAAGGAAACCCCGACTCGACCACATGCATGAGGGGAAACCAACCAGGCGTCAATGCTAAACGGGCAACAGAAGCTTTCGGACAGCGCGTCTTCAGTCCAGCCACTTTCATGACAACAATGGCCCTGTGACTGTTAGAAAAGCAGAATTAAATCACTGCCAGTCTTCCATTTACTGTCCAACGGGCAGGAGAGTTTAGAGGATCTTTAAGGATGTTTAAAAATCTTTCTTGCTTATCATATATCTGTGGTTCAAATCAGTCATTGTTCTTGAGATGAGAACATTTTCTCCAATTCCCTTTTATCCAAATTTCAGATTACTTCCGTAATTAAATGTTGTATAGATGTACAAGAAAGCAGTTTCTGTTTATACAGAAATACGGTGCCTGAACAATCTGTATTACTCAAATACATGCCGGTTTCCCTATGGACGCAAAGACGAAGAGCAACTTTGGTGTTACATGAACGAAAACCTTACAGCAAAGCACTTTGCTTACAGCATATACAGACCCTTTTGAGTAAAAGAATTGCTTTTGCTTGTATGAAACCATTTGAGACACCAACCACTGAAGTGCAATGAACTGGCATGACATGGTATTGTACTAAGTCAAGTACTTTAACAGCAGGGCTGCACGATAAGCCATATTATTATCGTATTGCAATAGAAGTTTCCACAATAAACACATTGATAAGGGCTGTGATGAAATTACTGGCACCAGAGTGACGTAATTAGACTGATGGAACGTAGCATTACAGCCTTTTGTGCTGGACTTGAACACTCCAGCACAGAGAGCAATTAACTTAACAATTTAGGTAATGAGCCAATTACATCCCTTTACATTCCATCACATCACATGACTGTGTCAGGCTCCAGTCCTAACAGGCCAAAACACTGCAGACTTCAGCACGCTGTCTCATTAAACACACCTGATTCAGCCCATCAGCTAATTAGCAAGGCCTTCATGAACTGAGTTTAGAGAGTTAGATGAGGGTAAACGCTGATCTCCGCAGCACTTTGGCCAGTTTGACATGCGCACAGCTCAAAAACTACTCCATCCTCAACTACTAGCCTGTAAAAAAGCTACTCTTACAGTGTGTCCCAATTCAGAGGCTGCATTTGAAGGGCAACTGTGCCACAGCGGCGCGGCTAGGCTGTCCCATTTCAAAGCCTCCTTCATATGTGGCTGAGAAATGTGTCCTCCTGTTCCACAGCAACGAAGGATCCAACGGGTGCATCCTTCGCCAGCCAACATAACCTGAGGTTCATTGAGTGCCAGCAAGGATTCGAGAATTGACAGAGAAGCGAACGGCAGCTAAAGAGTTCACTTTTAAATATTAGTATTGGGTTTAAACTGAGGCGAATAGCTGACGAAACAAATGTGTACCAAAAAAAGAAAAAAACAGTGAAGCATCTCCAGCTCTAACAAATGAAAAACTAAACAACTAAAATAAAAGTTTCTGGCTCCATCTTTAAAAAACTTTAAAAGAACTTAACAAGAGTGGCGTTTAGTGCCGCACCAGTAAGGGCAGGAACAGTGGTGCTGTGACACAAACAGGAAATCAGCCGTAGAGCAGACCGTCTTCAGCCTTCACGGGTCTAAGCGGTCTAAGGATTCAGCCCTGAATTGGGACACACTGATAGTTGCAGGGTTTGTGTGTAAAACATGTGAAGCAGTAATGGCTACTGTCACAACAAACCTGCATCACCATAAGGAGCTTTTTAAGAAATATATGTTTATTCCTTTTCTTTAGGCATATATATAAAATAAAAAAAAAATGTACAGTGAAAGCTGTTCAGGGAAAGCTGTTTTTCAGCCTTACAGTGCAGAAAAATTGTGCTTGCAGTTCTGATGCAAGAAGCTATCAGTATTTATTTTGCCTAATAGTGAATGGTGCTTTTATAATTATGCATTTTGATATTTGCTTATAGGAGAGGTTTAGTTACACTGTAAAAAGTTGCTCATCAGATCTACCTAAAAAATTACTTCATGTGGCAACAAGTAAATTAACTAGTTTTATTCAACCTAAATAAATACTTTGAATTAACGATTATTTCAATCAGCGTAGTTTTTTAAGCTGAATAAACCTGGTTAATTTATTTGTTACCATATGAAGTATTTTTTTACGTAGATCTGATGAGCCACTTTTTACAGTGTAGGTTTGTAAGAAAAGAAATCTGTCTCTGCCACTGATTTTATCACAAATTATTGCTGTGATATCCAACAGCTTTTACTGAACATCATATTTCACGTCCATATCGTGCAGCCCTGTTTGACAGTGTCCAAGCCAACAACTGATGCTTATGTGGTTACATCAGATACGATGGTTATATTGTTACATTAACCAGTTAAACACAATCAGTGTTGTGAACACACACGGGGGGACGCAAACAAACACCATCTCATACACTCTCCCACACATTAACTCACTCTCTCCTCCTCTTACAGAGATACACATCCACCTGTAAAGTGGTCTGTGTTGCACGGGTCCTGGGCTGTGTACTCTTACTCAAGATAAGTTATCTGTGCACTCGTCCCTCTGCCTGTCTTCGTCCATCCGTCTTCACCCATATGCTCTCAGCCGTCCACGCCTGGGATCAGCAATAGATGACCCTGCACTGATGCCCATGTCCTGCTAGGTTCATGTGTGGTTGCTGGTGTGGGCGTGGTCTAGCCGGCGCTTTGTGGGCGAGTCCTGTAGCCTCCGAGCAGCACAGAGAGTGTGGACGGGTGTGCCGCCCGGCAGGCAAACACAGTCAGGCTCCCTGAAAGTGTTGTGGCACAGCTGGCATCCCCTCTTTTCCGACACAAAGACTGGGCCGCCCCGATACTTTAGCTGGGAGTGCAGACAAGAAAAAATAGTCAGCAGCAGGAATTCTAGTCAGAGGTTAGTCAGATCAGAGATCAGTTCTGTGCAACTGTGGTTTACTTAAAGACCTCGTCCAGTGAAATTCAAGTTTTTAAATTTGTTATAATGTCAAGGTGGTTTCTTTTTTATGCTAGAATCAGTGGTGGATGAAGTACACAAATCATGTACTTGAGTTAAAGTAGAGATACCCAAAGTAAATATTACTCCAGTAAAAGTAGAAGTTCCTCCCTTTAGACCTCCACTTGAGTAAAAGTACAGAAGTATTTGCCTTTAAGTGTACTTAAGTATTGAAAGTAAAAGTACTGAAAGATTAATTATGACTCTAATGTCCTATTATCATTTTTGTAACAAGACTCATTAACTTCATTAACTCATTTTAGGTGAAAATACTCCAGTGTCTCTCTTGGTAAACCAGTCTTTTAATAGAATGTCATTAATTAGTGACGCTGATGTTTATTAAAATTATCATAAACACAAAACACTGAAGGTAAACAGTTTCCATCAGGTAGAACTGAGTGGCTCTGAAATAACCTTTTGCAAACAAGCAAAGTTTCAGTTTAAGATTTATTTACAAGTTTATGTTTAATAAAAACTTTAAACTCAGATTCACAAATGAGTTTTCCTTCACTAAACTGCATCTGTAGGTCTCTGTTCATAAACATAAACTAGCCAAAACTAATTTACTATAAAATGAAAGTGTTTGTATAAATTCAGAAAAAAAACACGTCAGTCACAACTGCATGTGTGTACATATTTCTATATTGTGGTCTATTTACACATTTAAGTTCCATCATTTATGTTGGAATAGGTGCTCCCAAAATTTTACGCTGCTACAATGACATTGAACCGTGTGCTGCACTGAGCAGCTACATCCAACAGGTCAAAACAAGCTCTAAACAAAGTGACCGCTGTGCCCTGATTGGTCTTACTTTGCGCTTCTTTCGTTTTGACATGTTATGTTTTTATGCACACATAAACCAAAAGGAGCGACAGATTTCTCATAATGTAGTGGAGTAAAAGTGAGATATTTGACTTGAAATGTAGTGGAGTGAAAGTAAAAAGTGGCCCAAAATGGAAAAACTTCAGTAAAGTACAGATACGCAAAAAAACTACTTAAGTACAGTAATGAATTACATTTACTTAGTTACTCTCCACCACTGGCTAAAATACATGAACAAAATAAGCAGTCAACACAATGGCTGAGTATTTCTGCTTTGAAACTGGTGGATTCAGACAGCCAGAATTTCATATGTCACAAAGCTAAGGAAAGAATCCCAGCCACTGGCAGGGTGATGCTTTCCGTATCATTGGCATAACAAAGTGTAATGAGGTAAATCAAGGTCAGGTATAGCTACCTACATGTCGTATTTTACACGCTAAGTTTTGCTTTTCAAAACGCTGGCAGAGACGTGTTGTTTTTGGCTGCAAAGTTAAAGGAGAAAATGTGAGCCTCCCCTTTTACCAAAGGATCTGAAAATCAGAGAACGGGTTCAGTTTGTTTGGAAAAACTGGCCAAACTTCCAGAGAAAAATTTAGGTTTGCAGTAGCCGTTTTCCAGAGGACTGTTTTGTGAATTTTACTCAAAAACAGATGGGGTTTGCCACAAAACATACACTGAAGCTGGACACTCTTCCATCCAGTTATCCTGGGTGCACAGCAAGTATGAGCCAAACGGTAAGTTTGTTTTTCTTGTGTTTTTTCCGTTGACAAAACATCTACAAAGCTGAATTCAGCTTCTTATTACGGAGCTTCTTGTTCAAATTTTCCCCTTCCACCTTAAATGGTTCAGGAGTTATAGTACAATTCAAACAAGAAGGCATGAGGCACCAGAATGTAACTGCTGCACCATTTGAGGCGGACCGAGAAATTTGAACAAGAAGCTGATGGATAAGAAAAGGATTTCAGCCTCGTAACAAATCTGCAATGAGCTAGACAATGGTAGACAACGTCAGCCTTACAGGGTACATGATAATTCACATCAAATGCTGACAGGACACTTTATAAGCTCCTAGTATAGTGTTAGCAAGATAAGGTTAGCTAATTTGATTACATATGGAACATGGAGAAAGCCCTGAAGGCAAACTTCTACTTGCATATGTATAGATCCGCGCACACTGAATGAAGGCAAAGGTGCAGAATTACATCTCAGCAATTTTTAGGGCATTAGGGGATTTTTTTTCTTGGAAAGCATGTAATTTTGATGAACAGAGACTTTTAGGTGTTTCATCAATGCCTGGAGAGGGTCTTTAAATTAAAGATTCAATTTTTCTCATATTTTCAGGGTGAGATTGAGCTAATTAAAAAGGTGCATCAGTCAATTAATTTTTTTCATTACTAGTATAAATAACCTGGAAAATATGTAGAACATGATAAAGAAAATTAATTGTTTCAGAAATTGCATTTAAGCATGTATACTATGTGCCTGAGAAACCCTATTTGGAAAACTGCAGGACAGAGTGGAGGGCTTCTCTGTGTTTCCACTGACGTCCTGTTTGTTATTTTAAAAGACGCTTTGGATTAACAAATTTGGATAACCCCTCTAGTCAGCTGCATCGATTTCCAAAACACAGGTAATAATGGCAAATACATAAGGCTGAAGTTGGCTTCTTATTCAAACTTTCCATTACGCTTTAAATGCTTTAATAGAGAGGTTATTTGCCTGCTAGTGACGGTTCACTAAGAAAACTTGCAGCTCATTAAAATTAAAAAATAAATAAAATAATAAATAAATAAATAAATAACACACACACAACAGCAAAGACGCTCTTAAAACAAACAACAATTGTTTACAAACTTGTAACCCTGCAATCCCCCTATGGCATGTGCCTGTCCCCCGGGCCCTGATGACGGTCACAAGAGCCGGCAGGAAGTCAGGGCCTGAACTCTGAGTGGGGACGAAGCCTGGCGAGGACAGCGGGGAGAGGAACACCACGAGTGGGGGATGGCATGCGAGTCCCGAGCCCTGCCTCCTGGGCGCCGCCTCCGGTCCCGCAGTGAGGCCACTTTTACTTTGCCTTACATTCGACCTGGGCGGCCGGGCAGCCGAGCAGTGGCGGTGACGGGGAGTGTATGAGGGACGAGCAGCTGCACCAAGAGACTGAGAAGTATAGAGCTGAAAAGCTCCAGTGTGGAAAGGACTGAAAAAAAAAGTCTAGCTAGAAGCCACTGAAAAGTGGCCAGTGTATCTTTGGTTTTGTTTGGGTGTTTTTCGTTGTTTGGCATAGATAATAAAGTTTAATGGCTGCTGCAACCCTGAATCCTGCCTCCGGCGTCCTCCTTGAGGCCAGGGTAGCACAAGCTGTGCTACACCACCACCACCCCCCCCTCCACACACACACACAAAAAAGACGCAGCAGTTTGAAACCAGCTCTTGCCAAATGCTGGTGCTATACAAAGAAGTATTTGCAGGACCTCTCATAGCATTATGAGTGAATTAATTACATTACATTGATATAAGTGAAATGTAATGGCATGTCATCAAGATTAACCAAGTACAATGAATCAATCCTATGCTGGAGAGAGAGCAGTACTGTAGCCCTCTCTGATGCTTAATCGAGATGCTGTCTTCAATCTGACTCATGCACCTTTAACTGCAAAGACATTTCAATGACTTTTCTTACTCATCACCTAAGAGTGGCGATAATTTTGAAGCTGGTAGTCATAAAATTTCTGCCAGTATCCAGCCCTGGTGAACACACTAGGCCACTCCAGCAAACTTACCCTGTCATGTTGTAGCTGCAGGTTCTCAGCTCGGGCCAGCCCCAGTGCAACCTGGGAAGTGCGGCGGGCATGTATATTGGCCCTCAGTGCCCCGCACAGGAAAGGACGGAGCAACGTTAGAGACCACGCCTCCGGGAGGAGTTCCAAAACCTGCACGGCATCAAAAACGTCAGCGTGGCGGTTGAGCAAGTCTACGGCCTCCATGGTCTGTGCCCCGCCCGGCACATCTGGGTCCAAATATACGCTCAGAAGCTGGTGGAAAAGCTTCTGGCGGTGGGCTGGGTCATGGTCTTCTGAGGCCCAGGTGCAGTAGTCCTCTGCGGCTGTGGAATTTTTCAGCTGGTGCACCAAAATGTGCAGAGCCTTGTCGTGCTCCTCCAGCTTGCCGTGCAGCGTCGCTCTCTCCGTTAACAGCACCTCCGAGTCCTGGAGTTTACCTGCAGAACATACACAATTAGCTGTGCAACCACAAGCAGACCCTTGTGATTTTCTCTAGGGATGCTCTGAAGATCAAGTTTAGTCTAACACCAATCTGAGTCATTCAATTTGAGCATCTGCTGGTCCAAGTCTAATTTAACTAAGGCTGGAACAACAAATCGATGTTATTGAGAATGTAGATAATAATAATAATAATAATAACAATAACAACAACACCAGTATCAAGAATCCACCCAATATTGTGCTCATTTGCGATGCACCAATACCAACATCCATTACCATTTGACATCATGTGATGTAAACCTAGTGTATGCTGACACGCTAACAAACAAAAGACTCAAGCTGGCAGTGAATGAGGGTCTGCTTGCACAGCAAAGTCAGACGCAAAGTCGTCACTTTACAACATTTCACCTTGGCATATTCCCGTCAGACATACACTGTACTACTTATCCTGTACACAATCACAACCACTTCCTCTACACAGGTGAACAAATGCAGACTAACAAACGGAGGCAAAAAAGCAGCACCGACATTTGATGTACTAAAGTGTGCAAATGCCAACCTTACTAAGTTTGACTGAACTGAACTAAAAGGTATAAATGTTTATATATTTTTTTAACCTCTTCAACTCCTTGAGACCACCAGTGGTTCCAAAACGCACTTCATCATATTCTTCATAACATTCATATTTCATAAGCTACATTCAAAAGGTGGGGGTCGTATGAGAGCTGTAACTGTCTTCTTTCCAGTCAAATAGATGGGTGATGTCATTTTAAACCCTTATAATAAAAGAAGCTGAATTCACAATTTTTTTCCTACTGAATGTCGACCCATTTTTCACAAATCTGGGCTATAAACTATAAACAGATGGCGTCTCTTCAGTGATCTGCTCTGTAAAAATTATTTTTATAAAATAATACAAAGAGCGTCTAAGATTTTTGACTTTCAGCAGTAAATTGTAAGCATATAGCAATATGTGTGATCATAAAACACATGTTCTGTTAATTTGAGGGGAACTTTTACAAAAAAAATAAATAAATAAAACAAAAATGCACATTTATTTCATGCAGTTACTGAATAATTTGCCTTATGGTTTGATCACTTAAATTCAGATGGAAAAAACAAAATATACCCTGGAGAATAAGTTAATTGTCTTTGTATAATAGAATGTAGAGCTGGGTGTCAAACTCAACCACCAAAGGGGTCATATTAAAAAATCTCAACAACTCTGTGGGTGAGAGAAAAAAGAAAGTTTTTATTTCATTTTTAATCAATGTTGTGCTGTAACCCGAACTGGCCATTGTTTATTTAAAATACACAAAAACGTCAGCAGTAAAATACAGACACTTATAATAGACCTTGAAATATTACATGAATACTTCAATTGTTTAGAATTGAGGTGTAACCATTGTCCCATAGATCGTTTTTGGGGTAGAAGAGTCGGGCGCACATTAAGCTGCAATGCATTCTGGGAATCACAGTGCAGTGCACTGTGAAACCGTATCAATATTAACAGAAAATTACTTTAGAAAATACTTTTGCGTGCCAGATAGGATTGCGTCGCGGGCCTGCCTTGTGTTTGACACACGGACTCTAGAGGATAGACTGCTTTGTCCTATCCATGTACATCACCGCCTGGTTTAGGTTCACTGTATAGTGTTGCACAAGTTAGCAAAGCTTCTGTAGCAGTTTTTCATCGTGTTGGCTGAACTACTCGGGTGCACAGCTTTATTGGAGATTATCCATAGACAGAGCTGTCGATGGTCTATTCAAACACACAAGCTGAAAGGAAGGGAATTGTTGGATGACAGCATAAACTATAGCTGAAGTACAAACTAATTAAAGGGGAATTCTGTTAGATGACAGTACAAATTATAGCTGAAGTAAACTCCTGAACTTGGGTGAAGGAGCTGTGTAAGATGACCTTGAGAGGATGAAACAGCCTGGTACAACCAGGTCAGAATGGTTTTTTAAAAAAATGACGTGTGTTTGGTTTTAAGGGGAGCCAAAAAGGGTTTGGATACAATGGGGACTAAGATGATATGGAATTGTGTAAAACGGGATGGGGTGATTACTTTATCAGCCCAAAAGGATATAAAAAAGGGATGCCTCGAGATGATCTTTGCATTGTGGTTGTCCGGGAACCATCTTGCCACTTAAAGCTCAATAAAGGGCCTTTACCTTCCTTCCACAAGAGCTCAGCGGCTGAAGTCTTTTTTTATTCCTTTGTATCCTTTCTTACTTTTTGTTAATATTGTTTTATTCCTTTAATTCTTTTTAAAGAAGTTAGACTACAGATAGTTATTAGGGCAATAACACAGAACATAGAGATACTCATATATGTCTAGACTCTGGGACAGAAGAAACAGCTCTCGGTCGTGACAAAAAACTATAAAACATACTTTACATACAGCTGTACCGAAGTGCTTTTCTGCACTCTTCTCCACTGAAGCGCTACTGGATCCAAGGTAACTAGCATAATGTAGCTAGCTAAGCACTTCATTTAAAATCGTCTAGATTTTAACTATTTAACTATTGAGGTAAACTGAACTCATTTACCCCAACAACTACTAATTCTTATTATGTTACTCATTATGGTATCTGTATCAGCATCAGCAAGCACCAAAAACATGTATATGCATTCAGTCTAAAATAAAGTTGTATTGATGCATCTTTAATAATAATAATAATATATATATTATATATGCTGGCAACAATCTTATCAACTAGTTGACTTGATGACATTTGCGCTTCCCATTTACATCACTTGAATGAAAGTGGGGAAAAAATGATGGACACGACAGTACACGGTTGTGGATGACCCAAAAAGTGAAAAACATGGGAACACTTCACTTTAAAATTGGGTTTCCTGTAAGATGTGTAAAACCAAGCTTACCTGGCATGACAGTACGACTCTCATAGGTAAACAACTAGAGAAAGCATCTTTATTTTGGTAAAGGCTGTGGCACAACAGCTGTAAAGAGTTAAATATGGCACGTATTTTGCTTTTCAGCTGTTTTAGATTAGCAAATAAAATAAACACTGCTGACTGAAGTGATGAGCCATTTTTCATCTAAACTAATTCATGGCTACATTATCAGTAATCAGGATCGCTCATGCACTAATGTACATGGACTTGCCCTTTTGCCTCCCACCCACATGAAAACGCCCACATGGAAACGCATTTTAAGTCACTGAAAACAGAGCTTTGGAAAATGGACGGATGTTTCGGGGGAGGCACCACATGTGGCGAACATGCTTTAGGACACTGCGTGTCTGTTTTCTTGCGCTCCGTAAAATCAGATTTGATTAAAGAAAGGTTACCGACCGCACAAACTATTTAATTTAATCTTTGTTTATATCACTAAAGGAGAAATCATATGAAAAGCAATGCAAAGTTCTTGCAGAATCCTACTTGGGCTGCTATGTAAGCTTTGTGTGCCGTTCCTTTATTTGTTCCTATGTAAAGGAACAGCACACAAAGATTACAATGAGTAAAATCCAATTGTGAGGGGAGGAACAGAAGATCTGTTATGCCTGTGATAAAAGTCCTGTTGACTTAAGCTTGAAAGAATATAAAGAACATGCAAACATAAGGAATAACCCTTGTATTATAAAGAGTTGAATGAAACATTTTGTACAATATAAAACAGTCAGACAGACTACTATTTACAGGTTTTCTTTTCCCAAATAATCAATTAATAAAAGTCACAATGCTATTAAAATTAATAATCATTTTGGTCTGCCAGAGTTAGTAGAATAAGCACAATTGACCTCATGACTCCTCAGCTCATGAGAACAAAGAGGTACATACTGAGGCCTTTCCCGCCGGCATTCAGTGAAGACACGCCCTACTCTGCCTCTGATTGGCTTGTTCTCATTGCCTTGGTTAGGAGAGGATTAGAGTAAGATTATTGGGGAGTCAGAGTCAATCTTATAAGAGGCAGAGTAGGGGTGGGTCTCCACAGAACATGGGTGGGGAAAAATGTAGTCCAGACAATCTTTTTGAATTTCTGCTGCTGTCAATCATCCGATCGACCGTGGACGCCCCCATGCCCCCAAACCCATTTCTTTTTTTACTAGAAAATATTGTGATAATTAAGTGATAATTAATTGAATAATAAATAAGAGATAGTTATTTTTAATTATCGCACTGGCCTAGCTTGGACATCGCATTACCGTCGCTTCAGCTCTACAGTACAAACCTCAGGATGTGTGACATTTACATAGTATCATGACTCTTCTATAAAAACATCAAACTAGCTTTGTGAACAGTGAACAGCTTTGTGAACAAAGCCAGCATCAATGGGGCCACCTGCTGCGTTCTCACCCTTCTCCTGCCTCTGCCCTGTCATTCTGGGAAAATCTATTACACAGCGATCAGTGACTCAGCTCCTCTGACAGACACAAACACTAGACGTGTATCTGAGAACATATCTGAAATGTGCAGATGGCTGTGTTGCGGGTTGGAGAGCGTGGCTTAGAGGTAGATGGCAAACTCACCAAGCAGCAGCTGCACCCTGTATAGGTTGGACTCTCTCAGCAATCGCTGCAGTTTCTCACGGGCAGAGGACAGCTGCTCCTCTGTGGCTGAGGGTCGCGAGAGGAGACCCAACACGCGGTCTGCATACAGCACGGCCAGGTGTGTGTGGTATTTCTCTTTCTGCACATAAGCACACACAGCACACAGAAAATGGACAAAAACAAGAACGAGTCAACAATGACTGAAAAAAAAAACAGTTCTTTTCTATTCAATTCACAACCCAAGAAATTTATTTTTGGAGAAAATATGCAAACGGCATTACAAATGTCTAATTTTGCAAAATAATTCACAGGAGAGACAATATGCTCACTATAAATTTTAAACCTTGAGGTTTAATTCAATTGTTTTATGTTTTAACTACTTTATATAACTGTGTTTAAGGCTGGACCTTAGCTTTGCTCCATCAGCAAACAAAGCAAAACCAAAACTAAACAGACAACTGACTGTGTTGCAGTTTATACATATACTCCATATACACTACATGCCCTGATTAGAGATGAGGCAACCATTAGAGAGAGAGTAGTTCTCACCTGCACTCTCCTCTCTAGAACCAGGTGTTCCAGGTAGAGCACTAGAGCCTGATGGTGCTTTTCTAGGTACTTGATCACCTCATCTGGATTCAGCTGCCCCGTCGTCTCTTTTGAGATCGGTCTCTTAGTGAAGATCTGGACTCCAATCTACAAAAACAAGCACGTATGAATAGTACATCAGTTAACTTATGATCTATCAGACTTATTCAGTGGTAGAGGAGCTGATCTGGGATTGTGCCTTTCCTAGCAGAACAGAATTAATTCAATTACATATGTGGCTGGGTGAGACCTGTTCTTAATCAAGTCGTGCCAATAATACAGGGTGATTCAAGAAGATTAATCCGATTTCAAAGCGCCATATTTTTACAGCTGTGAGGGGTCTATAGGAACCTATCACAATCCAACTGAAAGAGGGGGTCATAGAGTTTCTGACTGTCAGTCGGAAGATGGCTCCCTTCAGTCTGAGCAGAAAGCGTTCTGCGTTCTCCACTTCAATAAGAGTGAATCCGTCATAACTGTGCAGTGTGATTTTCGTGGGCAGTGAAGCTCCAACAGCTCAGAGCGTTCGGCGTTGGTTCCACAACACTGGATGATCTCCGAAATCACACTGAAAGAGCCGTGAGTGCAGCGACACCCGACATGCTCAATCCAGTATGGAATGAATTTGACTATGGTGTTGATGTTGTCTGTACAGCTGGAGGAGGTTCATACTGAGACCTTCTACAATTACACAATAAACTTTACGCTCAATTAAACCATTTACAGTTTACTGCATTGATCTGTAATGATTTACAAGTGAAATAAATCATTTTGATCAGATGAATCTTTTTGAATCACCCTTTATATTGTCCAGAATTCGAGCGTAGCCTGTGGGTAGAATGGGAGACATTGTGCGAACACAAAAACTATAAATTTATGAAATAACAGCTCAAAATGTTCAAAACACAGCGTAATTATACACAAACACTAATTTAAAATATAAAACATGCAAGTCATAGAGCAGGAGTGCCAAAACTCGATCCTGATGATTTTACTCCCACTGAGACACTCTAGAGGCTCTAGTATTCAGATGTCCTGAAGGCCTTCATTAACTGGATCAGGTGTGTCAGATTAGGGTCAGAACCAAATGCACAGTCTAATGCACAGTCTACCCTATATCAGTCCTAATTTGTTGTTTCGTCTCAGAAAAGTCTACAGCAGCACGAGGCTTCGAGACACAGAACGTCTTCCCTTCTAATACATGAATGTGGGTTTCAACTGTTTGGACGCTGTGGTTACATTAAAGTCGTTAAAAACAAAATAGAGAGTGTAATATAGTCCAGACCAATACCTGTATACAATAATAATGTTAAAATAAGAAATAAAAAGTATAAGCGTAACATATTATAAATAATATTTTTTTTAACCATGAATCTTGTTTACACTTACATATTGTTATTGGTTATTGTTATTGTTTTTGTTGGTGCCATCAGGCATATCAATTAAGAGGCTCCTCAGTCTGTTCTAGTGTTAAAGGCAGCCTATGATTAAATATTTGAGGTATCTTTCTCCTACGTATGCTGAAACACACTGTCTGTTCGCAGTGCATATACAGTGCAGTGCAGATATTTCCATTAGAAAGTGCCTTTTCCCACAAAAACTTTGCTTTCCCATTTTAAATTTGGCAGCTACTGTACACCAAAGTGCAAACACAAATACACACTTTGCTATGGAATTTGAATTCTGTCTCAAAACATGCACTTTAATAAAAAAAGTAATAAAACTGTAAATACACGATAGAATTAGTACTTTGTAATTAGCATTTTTATTTAAATAAAGTCCAGAAAATGTGACCGTAGTAGAGCTGTAAATCATTAAACTGCATGTTTATACTAAGTGTTGCAGTAATGTGTGGCAACGTAAAGGCATTCACCTTTTGGTCTTTCTGTAGGGCCCAGTCAGCATATTTCCACACTAGGTCCAGGTTAGAGCAGAAACTGAGGAAGTCCACCACATACTCGAAGAGATCGGCACGCGTGGAGTCCTGGAGGTCGCCGTTAACAACTCGAACCCACATCTACAAAAGTGCAGAGGAACACCTTTGAAATATCCCACTGAAATATGTCTAAATGCAGATCATATTAACTGGTCAAACCACTGCTGAACTATAAGTGCTGGTTAGAAGGCACTTATTGCTGACTTTCGAATCAGCAGCATCCATATATATAAAAAAAAAAAAGGAACACTGACTCTAAGCAACTCTTCCTCTTTGTGAAAACAGGTTCAGGTCATACCTGTAGAGCAGAAGCATCCTGGCCATTGTAGTGATATAGCAGCCCGAGTGCAAAGTACCTAAAAAGCAAGAGAAAACCCATTAGCCTTCAACTCCCACACATACACACTTAGTGCACACTGAGGCTGAGCTACTGTCAGTGACATTTATCAGGGCTTTATCTATGCGCTGCCATGGCAACTGCAGATTCTTCAACAGAAATGAGCATGAGGACAGAGGCTCATGGACGAGTGCTGCACAGCATTAAGTTCGTCTTAACATCAAATTCAACTGATACAATAATATGTGACTGAAGGTGTACTGATATTGAATTCCAGTAAAGAGAGGAACCACAAGGTTCAACTCTAGGACCCCTCACTTTTCACCAAAATATCTAAAAGGGGAGTACACCAGTTGTCCCCAATGAGTGTTCGGTGGGCATTTAGATGAACCAAGGCATTCTTGTAGATTAACAAAAGTAAACAGCTGTAGTCGACCATTAGTTTTACCAATAAACAAAAAAGCTCACCAATGTTTAACCTTTTCAACTCCTTGAGACCACCAGTGGTTCCAAAACGCACTTCATCATATTCTTCATAACTTTCATATTTCATAAGCTACATTCAAAAGGTGGGGGTCATATGAGAGCTGTAACTGTCTTCTTTCCAGTCAAATAGATGGGTGATGTCATTTTAAACCCTTATAATAAAAGAAGCTGAACTCTCAATTTTTCTCTACTGAAAGTCGACCCATTTTTCCACAAATCTGGGCTATAAACTATAAACAGATGGCGTCTCTTCAGTGATCTGCTCTGTAAACATTATTTTTATAAAAAAATACAAAGAGCGTCTAAGATTTTTGGCTTTCAGTAGTAAATTGTAAGTACATAGCAGTATGTGTGATCATAAAACACATTTTCTGTTAATTTGAGGGGAGCTTTTACAAAAATAAATAAATAAATAAAATAAAATAAAAAATTACATTTATTTCATGCAGTTACTGTAAATTCAGATGGGAAAAAAACTAAATATACCCTGGTCAATAAGAGGTTAATACTAATAATGATAGTGATTCCGACCTATTGTGTTTCTCCAGCCAAGGAGCACTGTCAGCCAGCAGGCAAGCGTTGTCAGATGCCAGCAGGTCCAATAGGCTCTCATGGCCTATTTCAGCATAGAGCTTCAGTAGCGCCGTGTCCACGTCCTCGCGGAAGCCATTGGCACTCTCGCTACTGCGCACCTCATGCAGGTAGCTGATGAGGAAGCGCTTGCAGCGCTGCACCTTCTCCTGGTCACCCTGTGCCAGGTGGTTGAGGTCAGCGAATTCGTGAAGCGGAGGGTGGCACCTTGTGAAGGAGGACGAGGCGGGCAGGAGCAGCGGGTACAGGGAGATCAGCTCTCGCACGTCCAGCTGTCCCTTCCTGAGCAGACCAGTACAGAGGACACCATGAGAAAACTGCACAGTCTAAAGCAGCAGCACTGAATTCTTGTCTGATAAATTTCAGGCAGCAGCTCTTGCTGACTCGAAGTCACATAACCAAATGATAACCAGTTTATGTTTATACTACGATGAATAAACACATTAATAAAACAAATATTCAAAAGTTTAGAAACACTTCATCACATAATATCTAGGGTCATTTTTATACAGTGTAGACTGATATAATAAAAGCTAAACTCTAGAACAGAGGTCACTAATAGGCAGACCGCAGTCCGGGTCCGGACCCAGGCGCTGTCCTATGCGGACCTGGACCTATAACCGATAAACTATGGAGAATTATTTCATTTTGACGGGGTGGTCCTATTTTAATGGCCCTGTAAGTTTTCTGGCCTTCACAGTGCCGCTTTAGCGGCCCCGGAAAAACTCACAGACCAATCGCATGCGTCGTAAATATCACACGTGATGCTACTCAGCCAATCAGATCTGTGCGTTACGATGAGCACTGAGACTCAAGTGAGTGATGCACACACAGGGGAGGGACGAGGCGAGACACAGCAGTCGGAGAGGAAAGTGAGCCAGAGGCAAGTTATTTCACATGGCGTGATCTAAAAAGAGAAAACTGACAATAAATATTGTTGAAATATTAATGAATTGTACTTTATTTGACATTCAGTTGTTGACTGTATAAGATGTTGATATAACTACTAGGCTACTTCAGTTTACAATATATGGCACTGAGTCATGATGCTAGTTAGACATTATGATGTTCCGGACCTTTGCTTGAGGAAATTTTCTTTAACTGGACCTTATTGAATTTTAATTAAATACCCCTTCACTAGAAGGATTTTGAAAGATTTTTTGGGGGACATCAAGTAGCTAAATGATAATCTATTCATAGTAATAAGTTTTCTACCTCTAGATTTGTCAAGGCCTTCTGAATGTTAATTTTACCTTAATTCTGGATGTTATACAGCTTTCTCAGTAATTATGGAAACATCTACAGCTCTGTTCATCATTTTGGACACAAAACCCCCTACTAATTAGTTAAAATCTATTAAGTTCCAGCATATTAGAATCATTTTGTACACACAGAACAAACTGAGTTTATATTACTGAAAACAGCGATTCAAAACTTTTGATTGGTGATTACAAACTTTTGATTGCCTTGAGTTTGACACCCCTGAAGACAGGGGTGTCAAAGTCAACCAGTAAAAGGGCCATATTAAAAAATCTCAACAAATCTGTGGGCCCAAGAACGCCTATGTTTTTATTTCATTTTTAATTAGTGTTGTGCTGTAACCCAAACTGGCCATTGTTTATTCAAAATACGCAAAAACTTCAACAGTGAAACACAGACACTTTTAGTAGACCTTGAAATATTACATGACTACTTGAAATATTAAAAATGTAAATGTCCCCAAGAGCTCAGTCTTTTAAACCTACCTATCTGCTTGAATTAGACACCTGGCTTTCTTTTTTTGCTGCAAGTTCATTAATACGTGGGCTCAGTTTCTGAGCTGCTGAGCTCAGGTTAAGTGTTTATGTTGAACCGCAGCTGAAATGCATTTTGGTGATATGACTGGTGAGGAATTGCACTGAATTCCGTGAACTGAGGTGTCCCATAGACTGTTTTTGGGGTAGGAGAGTTGGTACACATTACGTTGCAGTGCATGCTGGGAACTGTAGTGCAGCACACTGGAAACAGGCTAATATTAATAGAAAATTTAAATTCTTGCGCAGGCCGAAAAGGATTGTGTGGCGGGCCTGATCTGACCCACGGGCCTTGTGTTTGAGACATGGGGTATGAGAGAACATTCTGCTCTGGGTAACATGAATCTTGCCCAAGTTTACCACTTATATTTATGATTTTGTCAGAAGTTTGTCAAAAACTAAAATTCACAAATGTGTCATTTGCTCCAGCCCAATCCAGTACACCTAATATTAACACCCTGATTGTACAAGTGGATGGAAACAAGGTACATCTGCACAAGGATGGTTGGGCAGCTAAAACTTATCATTTAACTGCATTTAACTAAAGTCTAAATGTCATTTGTACAAACACAATCAGCACTGCTAATGCAAGAGAGCCGAATTATGTCAGTCATATCGCTCCCATCTCTACCTCTGCATTAAGTGGAAAGCATTAAATATTAATGTGGCACTGGACGCCTGTGATTCTGTTACATTAGGCATGCCTGCAGCATTAGACATCCCACGCGCTAAAGGTCCTGGTGAATTCTGGATCACAGAAACATCAAATGAGTCATTTATTCAGCTATCAGACAACTTTCTGCTCTCCTGTCATTAAGCATACAGTCATTAGGGTCAGGTGCACAGAGGGAGATGAAGCAATTAGAGGAGCCGTTAATTAACTCCATTCAATCAGCTTCTCGAACATCTGGGCCTGAGAGGCGGTTAACGATGTTAATTGCAGGACAGAGTGGTGTACTTCACCTAAAATGCTCTTTTGCTTCTGAAAACTGAAGCTGTCCAAACTGGATGAATCCTGCTTGCTGGAGAATTCGTTTGTGCAAAATCTGGAAAGGTGCAAAGTAAAAAACAAACATCAGCCAAAGCGCACTTTGTGATCTCAAGTGAAGGTAGTGACAGGTAGTGACAGGTAGTGACAGGTGCTCCATGCAAATAATTCCACCAACAATAACACTGCTGTTCTGCACTATACAGTACCAGTCAAAAGTTTTAACATCTATCACAATCTATTCACAAAAGGATTCTACAATATATGACCAAAAGTATATGGACCCCCGACCACCACCACTTTACGTATGTAACAGCCTCCGCTTTTCTGAGAAAGCTTTCCACAAGATTTCGGAGTGTGTCTGTGGGAATTTGGGCGGATTCAGTCAAAAGAGCCTTTGTGAGGTCAGACGCTGCTGTTGAAATAGAAAGCCTGTGTTCAGAAGGTTTAAGTCAGGACCCAACATTGAACTCATCAAACAAGAACAGGAAAGGGCCTTCCACAAAACTGCTGCTACACATTTAGAAGCATATCGCTGTTGTCGGAACAAAACCTTGTATCTCCAAAATGGTAACTTTACAGGAGAAGGAAAAAACCTACTTTACTTTTAATGTAAGTCAATGGAACCAGACTTTTTTCCAAGTAGTTTTGGGTCATTTCTTTCAGGTCCATTCTTTATGTAATTTACACACAATGTAAAGGGCAACAGGTATTGTCAAATTATGTCAAAAACTGAAAAACAACAAAAATGGAGATACAAGCTTTTCTTCCGACAGCAGCGATATAATCATCTAAAACGTCTCTGTATGTTGTTGCATCAGCACTACTCCTCAGTGGAACTTAAGGGCTGAGCCCAAAACCCTGAAAAAAGACCATTATCCTAAAATTTTCCTCTTGACACTATGAATTCCAAGTAGCACACTTCTAGTATCCGCCAAATCCACATTCGTCCATAAGACTGCCGTAAAGTGAAGTTCGATTCATCTCTCCAGAGAACAAGTTTCCACTACTCCCGTGTCCAGTGGTGTTGTGCTTTACGCTGCTCCAGCCGATGCCTGGAATTGCACATGGAATTGCACAATTGATCTTAGGCTTGTGTGCAGCTGCTCAGTCACGGAAAACCATTTCATGAAGCTTCCAACACAGCTCTTGTGCTGATGTTGCTTCCAGAGGCAGTCTGCAACTCTGTACTGAGTAATGCACACAGCAGTCCTGTTCTGAGTTTGTGTGCTCTACTAGATGCAGCCTATGGAGAAGGGGGCGTGGCCGAGCGTCGAATGCAGGATGGAGAAGCCGGTCGGACTGAACCAGCGGGCTACGTAGACTGATGACATTGACCTGTGCTTTGTTTCTGTCAGCCTACTTATAGTCATCTCTTCCCTCAGTAGGTGGCAGAGCCCGGAGAGAGAAGGAGGCCTATGAAGGTGCGAGAGCAGAGGCGAGGAGACCTAACCTGAGCAGAACTAAAGGAAAGAAAGAAAGGACTGAAAAGTCCCAGTAAGCGTCTTGTCTTACTTTGTCTGTGGGCTGAAAAGCCGAGTGTTTTGTGCGTTGTGTATAAATAATAAAAAAAAAAAGCTCTCAGTCTCCACACCTGCCCCCAGCGTCCTCCCTCAACCAATACTTAAAGTTGTTAAACAGCTCCCGAGTGGCGCAACCGTCTAAGCGTTGGATCTATGATCAGGAGATCGCGAGTTCGATCCCTGGTGATGCTACAGCCGTCCGTAGCCGGGAGTCCAAGAAAGCACAATTGGCCTCGCTCTCTCTGGGTGGGTGGGATGGCCCCTACTTCTCCACCCATCACCCAACGCGATGCTAGTCAGCGCAGGCGTCTGTTAGCTGACGTAACAGATCTGGCGTTTGGTGCTTTCCTCCGAGCGCGTTCGGCTGTCCAGTGACGTTGCGTGAGCGGCAGTTCGAAAAGAAGCGGTGGCTGGTTTCACAGGTCTCGGAGGAAGCCTGTGTTAGCCTTCACCCTCCTAGCGTTGATAGCATCGTGTGATTGGGGGAGTCCTAACTAGCAGGTGGGATTGGAAACAACTAAATTGGGGAGATAATTGGGTAAAAAATCCAAAAAAAAAAAAAAAAAGTTGTTACACATCCATTTCACAATAATAGCACAGGGCAGGTCTAGCTGTCCAGAAATTTTACAAACTGACCTGTGGCAAGGATGGCATCCTATGACAGTGCCTTGTTTAAAGTCACTGAGCTCCTCAGTACGGCCGATTCTACTGCTAATCTTTGCCTATGGAGCTGCATGGCTATGTGCTTAATTTTTATACATCTGTTAGCAGTGGGTTTGGCTGAAACACTTCAGCTCAAGAATTAAGAGGGGTGTCCACACACTTCTGGCCAGATAGTGTATTTTTACTATTTTACATCTAAGAATCACAATGAAGACATGAATACAAAAAAATCTGTAAAAAATCTAAATAAAAAAGAAAAAAAATCTATTTCTTCACACAAAAAAAAAAGCTTTTTAACAAAATTCATTTAGATTTAGATCAACGCTACTATACAACATAGAAAATTTGCTCAAAGGTATTAACAAGGACTGAAATAACTTTTAATAAGGCTCACATAGTAATTATCAAGGCTCCAGACAAAAAAAATTTGCTTAAGGAGCAACTGACTCCTAAAAACAGGTGGCAATAGCTTTTTTTTTTTGAAGTACCAAATAATGATGCCAAAAAAATAAAGAAATAAAGAAAAAAAATTAAATAAAAACACACCTCAGGTCAGCTCTGTAATTTAAGCAGCCTTCCACCGTGCCTGATTCTTGTCATACATATTATCGTACATCTTCAACACACCCAGTCAGGAAGGCGAACTTGGTGAAGGATAGTTTTTCATGTGCTAAGCCAGGGGTGTCAAACTCAGCCACTAAAAGGGCCATATTAAAAAAAAAGTCAGCAAATCTGTGGGCCAGCTTTTTTTTTTTATTTCATTTTTACTTAACATTTCGCCATGACCCCAGCGGGCCATTGTTTATTCAAAATATGCCAAAACTACAAATCAAAATAGGCACTGAACACTTATTAAGAAAATTCTAAATAAAAATAAGTAGTTTGTTTTTAAAACTGCCTGTTTGCTTGAACTACACACCAGGCATCTTTTCGTGTAACCGCTGGCCCATAGATTGCGTTTGGGGGAAGGGTGTCAGAATGCAGATGTTGCAGTGCATGCTGGGGACTGTAGTGCATCTCAGGGTGAAAGGGGCTACTAAGAATAGAAAATTAAGATGATTTCACAGGCCGAACAGGATTGGGTCACAGGCTTGATTAAGCCCGCGGGCCTTGTGTTTGACACATGGGTGCTCAGCTGCGTTGAAGTTCATTTTAAGCGCTTTGAACTCTTTCTCAGCTGTTTTATTTATTTATTTTTTTTTAAAACACATGCACGAGACACTGTGCGGGCTAAAAGAGTTTCCTTAGAAGCACTCTTTGCAATAATGAAATCACGTGCATATTAACATGTTCGACTCTCGCCATGTTTGTTCATTCTCTTTTTTTAAATGATTTGTTCCTCTCAAGAAATCCATTTTTCCAGCTATATCTTTGTTTGCTTTTGAACAGAATTCGAAATATAGTCTGCTTTATGTTATCATACCTGAGCCACGCAAATTCCTGAAGCCAAGAATGTCTTAAATGTCCTTCTGTGGTTGTACTTTTACATGAAGTGCTTTGAAGTGGACGGTTGTTCAAGTACATCTTCATGCGCTTCACTAGGTCACTGGTCCTAACTGAGTCAGACTGGGGTTGAGCAGATGACCTCTTAAGGTCTGACAGAGACGTAGATTGTGTGATAAAATCTGATATTGTACACCTCATTTTCTACACGCTAACGTTGACTGCAAAAAGCTCAGCTTGGCTCATCTGCTTTGTCACGTTTTGCCAATCTGGTTGAAATCCCATGAGCACGCGGGTGTGCAATAGGCGGACACGCCCATGTGGCACTATAGCTTCAGATACATTTTAAGATGATAAAAATGATAATAGAAAATACATAAAAAACAAAAATAAGTAATAAATACAGAAGAATAGTCATAAATAGTTACCCATGAAAAATAATGATCCAAAGTCACTACCTATCACCACTGGCGAGTTAATTTTATTACTCACAAATTAATAATTGTTTCAGTCACTGTCTGGAGCCCTGAATAATGATCTAAAGACCGTAATTTAACATTTCTTACCATAAACTCTCACTTTAATTTGAAGTTCTAAAAGTAAACCACCTGTTGGTGAGCAATTAACTGTGAAAAATTAATTCAAAACGACCCTTTTCACTATGTAAACGTGTCTCAGAAACAAATGTGATTCATTTAAGCATAAGCCTTTACATTATGTCCTTACGATTATGAAAAACATACATTAATTTGTGTTAAACTTTTGACTGATACTGTATATTCTGGCAGCATACCTGGAACTTGTCTTTGGGAATGTTTCTCTGTGCCCCCTCTGTGAGGGTCAGCGCCTCCTCCACTCGATGTCCTGCTAACAGGTCCTGGATCTGTTGTTCCAGAGGCAGGGGCACCAGCACGTACACTGCCTTTGTGGAGGCCAACACCACCTTCCCTGAGAGATAAAGATATAAATAACAGTCTTATACACATGTGCACCTAAATTATATACCAATAACTTACCAAATAACTGCATCTGCATGCAAAGACAGTGACTTTTCTGCTTACGCCACAATCTTTGCAGACTGAAAAACGAGTCAAAAATATGCTTTTGATTTGGGAGGACATTAAATACACCAGGCAGACAACACTGCGTGCGGATACATGCACTCAATAATCCAACAACAGAAAATCAGATTTTGTCAGTAATCCGATCAACAAGCACTTGAGTAATCAGATAATGGGGAAACTCCAGGTCTACATGAGTCAGACTGTAATCAGATTTCTGCTTTGCAACCAGCCACTAAACTCACAGAAGACGACGTGACATAAACGTAACGCAAAACTCAAACTTCATGCCTTTTTTTTAAATATTGCACCACTTTACCTGAAAATATGAACTTACATCGTCTAGAAGATGAAGAATATTCAAATCATTTACTTCGTGTTTGGTTTCAGTGCCTCTAGAGAAGTGTTTTGCTGCATCTCGCGACATCCACCGTCTGATCTTGCGCATGCGCAGACTCAGAAATCCGACAGAAACCAGAGTAAGAGTTTACATGCACTGAGAAATCTGATTACTGAGCTAAAAATCCAACCCTCTTTATTGGATTTCTTAATCGGATTTCTAGATGCGAGTATGGTGTTTACATGACCATTTGAATAATCGGATAACTGCAGAAATCGGATTATTGAGTGCATGTATACGACTCACTGTCTCGTACCCTGGGGTGATTTGACACCAAAATGGTGTAAAATATACTATTTATGTGCAGCACTATATAACTGGCAAGTCTAAAATCAAAGACTCTATCCATTAAAATATCAACTATAAAACGGATAGACCCAGAAATCTGATTGGCTGAGCCACGTCAGTGTCACTGTAAATTACTTGCATGTTTATGAGTATTAATATTCTGAAGTTCTACGGTTAAATTTACCACTTATTACCAGCCCAAGTTAAAATGATCATAAATGAACTAGCTTTAGCTCAATGTACCACAGCAGCTCTTGAGAGCCATCACTGTCCACCATGTTCTTCTCTATGATTTTGAACACCGTGCATCAGACTTTCCTCTCAGTGAAATAGTTATCTGTCTTATTACTTGTGGGTGTTTGCTTTCGATGTGGTACATTACTGTGGATGTGCTACATTATTTTCACTATAGTAATAATACTTGTTCTACCTAAAGGCCTTCGCTGATGAACTATATTGTAGTTTGGGCTACAACTCGAGTATTCAAATTATTCAGTCCAGCCATTGACAAATATGCTTTAGATGTTGCAGCAAAAACTGAGACTAAATGCAAAATAAAAATATATTTTTGCCTCCTAGCTTATCTATCTTAACAAGGCTTTACTCGGAATATCAGAGAAGGCTGCATTAACTGCATAAACATGACGTGGGACGTTGCCATTTCTGCAGTCCAACTCTACTTACTGATGCACAGCTTCATTTAACCCTTGTGTGGTGTTCAGGTCTGTGGGACCCATTTTCAGTGTTTACCAAAAGAAAAAATGAAGTGATTTATTATTATTTCAACCTCAGATTCTTGGCCTTTGCTCATTTTCTGTGAAGAACATACAAAAACCCATTTTCAGTGTCTTCACACTGTTCACCCCCCACACATTTATATTACACATGTGGTGTTGGGCTGAACCTGCAGGGAGTAAAAGTGTGGAGGTGCTGTGTCCTTCACTCTGTTCTCCTCCTACATGGTCTGCTGTTAGTGTGTGTGTGTGTGTCTGTGTGTGTTTGTACATGTGTGTGTGTGTGAGGGTGGGCAACATGGACAGGCTGCTGACTGGCTACAGCTGCTACAGGAGAAACCTACGCTGGACACTTGTGATAGTTTAAACATCTGGGATCTTTACATAAATTGTTATGGTTATGATTTAAAACACTGAGTAACAACATCAACACCACACAAGGGATATTAATATGCAAAATCACCACAAAGCAATTTGTGGACAACTGTTTTAAACAGCCTTGCTTTTGGTAATTGTCACTTTATACATCAGCATCAGCAGCAGGATCAGTAGAGTGACCAGAAGCTTAAATATGGAGAAAATTAAAACGAAACGAAAACAAAAAAAGTAGGTCACCACTCAGTGGCGAGAAATATTATATAAGCTCACATAGTAGCTACAAGGCCACCACGTATACAAGCAATTGGCTTACAGAAAGAGACAAGATTATGTAAGTGAGAAGGCAGAAATTACAGTCATCACTCATATTTTAAGGATGAATCAGAAGATTTTCAGGTCAAAACTTGAGTTTATATAAAACACCATATTTGAGCCATGCCATAGCACTTCACTGTGGTGAACGTACCAACACTGAGCTGTGAAAGCCCCCACTGTGATTCAATCTTGGGAGTATGTGATACCTTTTGGAGGTTCTAGATGCATTAGTTAAAGTATGGTCAGCACTAAGATCACTAAAAACCATCATGTCAGCTGCTTCCAGGTAAACAGTCAGAAACACAACTTGTACAGCACAGTTAACAAGTAATGCAGTTGCTTTTGTCCACTGTACATGCTGCGGTGCTGCAGAGGGACCAAGCAGTATTGATTTCGGGCTGTTTTCCGAGGAAAATTCACCTCAGCGCTTTAGCGAAATCAATTCTTACTAACTGGTGCAGCAGTGAAGCCTTCAAAAGCCTCACAGAAGACCAATGCAGGCTTAAAACACCTCCAGCCCACTGATCTAAGCATCGGTCACGTTTTGTCCTATTTCATTAGAAGCAGACCACTGATGGCTGTGACAGAGATTCTGAATAAATATTCCCTTAATCAGTAAATCAGTAATCAGACAGATTAGATATTGTGATCAATAACCAAACAGGTAGTATTGGCCAACAGATAATATTACTTCTCTCACAAAGGGTAGGCCTTAGTCTGTCTGCAAAGGAGATTCTAGACACTGGAAAGCCCCTGGGTTCACAGAGAGGCCTGTGTGTACTTACTGACCCAGTGAAGAGAGGGGCAAGTTGACCTTGAAAGGTAGAGTAGGCTGGTAAAAACCAGTTGAAACCGGTTTTTGGGAGTGAGCTCAACATGCAATGACCAAATTGATGGACGAAGAGATGCACCTATTAGAGAATGAGCTAATATGAAAATTTGAGAAGTAAGGTGGGGGGATATCAAGTTACCCCAGATAAATGGTATAAACTCTTGTTTGGAACACTGTATTTGTGCATTTGGGGTTTCTCGAGACCCTGTGCCACTTGATGCTGAAATAAAGAAGAAGCCTTTTTCCCTCTTCCACAAACTCAGCATCTGAAGCATCTAAACCGCTTATCCTTCTGGGTCGCGGTGGGGTGCTGGAGCCTATCCCAGCTGTCATTGGGCGGAAGGCAGGATACACCCTGGACAGGTCGCCAGTCCATCGCAGGGCAGACAGACAGACAGACAGAATCACACACACTCACACCTAGGGGCAATTTAGCATGTCCAGTTGGCCTGACTGCATGTTTTTGGACCGTGGGAGGAAACCGGAGTACCTGGAGGAAACCCACGCAGACACGGGGAGAACAGGCAAACTCCACACAGAAATGACCCTGGTCACCTGGCCAGGAATTGAACCAAGGCCCTTCTTGCTGTGAGGCGACAGCGCTACCCACTGCGTCACCGTGCCGCCCCAGACTTAGAACAGTTATTAGTGAAAGTGTTTAGCCGGTATTAAAAGATTTCTTTTTATTCATAATATTATGTTGGAGGCCTGGGGTCGAAGGGGACAGCCCTTGGTCCCGACAGCTGACAAAGAATGTATTCGAAATCTTCTGAGAAGAAGCTGAATTGTCTGACGATGGTTCACAAGTATGTATGTGTTATGATGTTAGATTGACGCTTCATTCTGTTGTTAGACATAGAATGAGGTAAACACCATCAATACTCTCAATCACACAGAACTAGCCTATAGCTTATGCGTTGAATGGCTCTTTCATAGTTGGAAATAGCCCTGCAAAGTGTTTTAGGGGTCCTAGGCCTGGGCAACAGGGCAATGTAATCAGATGACTGGCATGTAACCTAATAACAATGCTTAAAGAAAGGGAGTTTGTTAAGAAACTACCTGTTAGTTCTCTCTGTTTGCACTGTAATGCTAGTATTACTTACCACGTCTCTTCAGTTTTACTTGACTTTTAGCTTTACTTTAGTCAAGCTAAGTTTAGTGCATGAAACTGAAAATAAACGCTGATGTGCTTTGCAACAGCTTGCTTCAAAGTGATTCGCTGCAGTAGAACACTATGAAACCAAGCTCAAGTGACTGGGTTTTACCCAAGAGCAGCTAGCTCCAGCCCTGGAACGTTTAGAAGCAGACAAAGTTCCTCTGATCCCTATCTACTGCCAGGAAACAGGACCAGAAGTTAAATAAATAATTTTAAACTTGTACTCCAATGTTTTATTTTCATTTACTGTTCTAAAACAATTTTCTGTTTACCAAAAAAAATGTTAGGCAGTAGATTTTTTCCGCTGTAGCTTTCCTAGAGTGTGTCTGAGAAAAGATTTGCAGCGTTTTCCACACAGCTTAAGTGTCCGGGGGGTATCAGTCATTTAGAGCGTTACAGTCTGAAGTTTCTCCAGCGAAATGTGCTATTAGTATGCGAGTCGCCACAAATGTACACCAAAAGGAACCTCATGAATGCTAGTTCAATAGTAACAATACAATGAGCTTTGTGACATCTAATAGTGCCACCTTGTGGCAAGTATTCAGCCTGCTAAACACGACTGAGTGAGTGTGGGTGCATGGCCAGGTCCATGAGGCGTTGTACATCTAAAAATATGACACAGTTACATTAAACTGAATAATAAAACAGGACAGAAACATAACACACCATCTAAATTTACTGATTTGGGCTGGGTTTCCCGAAAGCATCTTACTGTTATGATCACCTTAACTGGTAGAGAGGGATCAGTCTGACACTCGCACTACCATTCAAGAATATTTTTGTCTTTAGGCCTTTAGGAAACCAAGCCCAGATCAATTTGTGAATTACCTGGGCGTGGCCTAATATTCCAATTAGCATGTTTGCTTGGAACAGATGAAATTACGTTACACGTACACAGAGTGACAGTTCTACTGTAGCGCTGAGAGCTGTGACTAATATTAGAGCACTTATGCTTGTATGACCTGGGGCTTCAACACAGTTTGCAACTACTCTGCTATACACTCTGCTACAGCGTACACAGCTAAGGAACAACACTATCCTTTACTACTACTCTGTAAAAACACTAACTGAGAAGACGTTTCTCAATTCCAAGCATCATGCCTAGCAACAGTGTTTCAAACAACAAGCCTGTATAATTATGACCTGAAATAATGAATGCGTTTGTGATGTATTTGTTCCATTTGTTTATATATCGCTGTTGTCAGAAGAAAACCTTGTATCTCCATTTTGGACATTTTTCAGTTTTTGACATAATGGATCGTAAACAGCTTTTGAACCAATTCAGGTCAAATGTTTCTTTTTTGCGATGTATGTGGTATCAATCTCATCAAATGTTGCTTTTAATTGGATGAAACAAATCATACTAAATACACATCAAGAATGTAAAAAAATATTGCTACAGTAAAAAAACACCATGGCAGTGGTGATGGTGGTGCTTTCAGCATAATAAATGCTTTACTTTCCACTTATTAACACATTATTAATCCAGTGTATAAATTGTGCACTTTCTCCGAATACAACAGTCTAAACGTGCAGAGCGAGTCAGCAAGAAACAAGATTTCTAAAGTCGCACAGTCTTTAAAGGACATTTTAAGCTCAACCAGCCAAAGTCTCCAACAAGATGTAAAACTGGACAAGTGAGCTCCTCGGATGCCTGAGCCTCGGGATGTGAATCCTGCTTTCACTGTGCTACAGAGGTGCTTTTCTGGCATGGACCAAAACACACTCTTCTGCACTTCAATGCGTCTCAATCCAAGGTAACTAAAGTACCATAGCAAGCTAATGCACGAGTCAATGGTGACAACTAGCTAGATTTTAATGATTTAACTGTTAAGCTACATTGCACTCGGTTACACTAACAACTACTTAATTCTAAGTAGGTTACTGAGTATGGTATCAAAATTGACCAGTACTTAAAAACATGTACTAAGTGTTAAAAAATAAATAAATAATAATAATAATAATAATAATAATAATAATAATAATGGTATTGATGTATCCCTGTATGTTTTATGTCCGCAAGACCAAGATTAACCTAATTAATCTTGGTTCCCTGGAGCTTTAACCTCAAGCTGCTCCAAGCTCAAGTTACTGCAAGAACATTGCCCATGTAGTTGATTAAGTTCAGCTGCTTTGTGGAAAAAGTAACACACCTTAAAGTTTTAAACATGATGTGTAGACAGTGTATAAGACTATATTCACACAGCAGGTAAAAGTGGCCCAAATCTGAGTTTTTTTGTTTGGCTGTTCACATTATTTTTTAAATGTGTCCTATATGCGACAGTCTGAACAGATCAGCTACCAAACTGACCCACAGGTGCAAAAGATCAGTGCTTCACGCGGCTCATCCAGAGGTAAACAATCACGACTGCCAACGAACGCCAGTCGCTCCCGGAGGGTTCAGTTTCATCTTCACCAGCATCACAGGAGCCATCATGAAGCTTCACTGACTGACAGCTGGGCTCATCACACAGGATGTGTTCAGCTCGCCGTAAAAAGGGCGCGATCACTTCTTTGATTCGTGTCCTCAGATTCTTTTAACTGTGCTTTCAGACTTTTTAACTGTTCTTTGACGCTGCAGCCTCGTTCTCCTACAGCAGAGTTTGGCCATTTCTTTCTAAATCTCTTCAAACACAGAGGGTTTTGATCAGTCTTTTCTAATTTTTATACAGAAATATCACCCCAAGTGTTTATGAGTCTCAGCAGCGCGAGATTAGGACGAATGTGGAGTTGGACTGACGTAAAAGCCACATGAATTCCGATCCGGCTGTTCAGACTGAGTCATATCGGATACGTATCGGATTTCAGTACCACATATAAAAGCGTCTTAAATCGGAATTGAAAATCTCAGATTCGGTGTGTTTTTTGGATTTGGGCCACTTTTACCTGCTGTGTAAAAGTAGCCTAAGATAAAACTTAAACAAAAATCCTGCTTAAATGTCTGGGGGAGTAGACAAAGCAGGTGTGATGGACTCCTGACCTTCAAAGTCCTGCAGGATGTGTCCTTCTCTGAAGGAGAGCGTCTGTTTCAGCTGCTGATCCAACATGCTGTGAACCGTCACGAAACCTTCGTCCAAAGCCACCACGTACGGGAAGCACACGGCGGCCCCAATCACACTCTCCGACCAGCTCACCGGGGCGCGCTGGGATATGCCCTCCGCGTTAGCAAACATCCCTAAGAAAAGACAGAGACACAGCATGACTCATCCTGACCGGTTACCATGACAACGGGCACAGCAAGAAAAGGCGCAAGGATGTTTCTCGCTGGGGTGGGCCCGAAGTGGCTTGGACACCGTCCCACGTGTTCACCTGAGAAAACAATTAACTCACTGTTCGTTATCCAAACACCTGAGGGCTTCGTTAACAAAGCAGCCCTGAATGAGTCTTTTTGTCACTGTATGTCTTTAACATCTTGAGCCAATAACATGAAGAGATTCTTCAAACAGCAATAAGCCCAGATCTGATAGCTCACAAAGTCTAAGGACCCCTAACAGAAACACTGATTAATACATAGCTTGCAAAATACATATCTAATTAGTGGATGATTATGACAGTTCCTTCAGGCACTGTATGAGCAAGTATGAGGACCTGGGGCTGTAATACAGAAACTTCCTATCTTTTTGTCTTCACTTAAAATCTGACAGGTCAAAATAAGATTTCACAAATTTGTATTACAGAAGCAAATCTTATCTGAATAATCTTATCGTACAGTATCTTTTCTCAAGTTATACAACAGTTAGTTCCGGCCACGCAAGCTGATTGGTTGAGCAGCGTTTTAACTGTGCTGTTATTTCGCCATAACTTCACGTTTTTTCACGAACACTATCACTCCGCTGAGACGAAGTTGCTAAGCAAGGACTTTGACAGCTGTAGGAGACGCTCAAGCCATTTGAATGTTTTTACTTCTTACTTTGCCACAAACAGAAAATGGACACTTTTAAGATCACATTTGACCGACAGCCGATTTGGTCAGACTCTGAAGATGAGACGTCACTAAACTCCCAAACTGTCATCACCACTGAGCAGCTTTTCAGTCGGCAGCTGTGACAGAAGAAAAGCTAAACAACCTGGAAGCAGCCAGAAATGAACCCAACACCATTCGCCAAACATGCAGTCTGATCTTCAGAGTCTGACCAAATAGGACTGAGCCATAAAACTGCCACAATAAAACCAAAAAAGCTGCTCAGTGGTGGTGACAGTTTGGGAATTTAGTGTGAGGAGCTGGAGAACGAACTGCCGGCTGAGCAGCGAGTGGGCGGAGCTCGTTACTCTGACGTAGCAACAAGCTGCTCGTTAAGGAACTATAATTTGGTGAAGGAACTGCGAACATTAAAACATATTAAACGCCGCGTTCACGGCCCAGTTTATTAATTTATTACTTTATTTATTTAACTGTTGTATAAAAGCAATAACACACTCGAGGAGTGTGTTATCGCCAATAACATCACGGCTGTGCGATAACACACTCCCTCTGTGGTCTATTGCTTAAATAGGAAATCTTAACTTACTCGATCTAAGTCAACAATCAACTGTCGTGTCTGTTACCTAGCAACCGACCTTATGGGCACAGCTGAAACATAAACGCGATCAAGTTAGTTAGCCATACAGCTAACGTTAGCTACCGTTGCTGATGTAAAGAAGGTCAATTAAAACTAAAACTTAAGAATATTGTGTCAGTGCTTCGTGCTGTTTATCAGAGTGTCGCCGCGCCACAGTTTCAGTCTCCATTTCCCAAACGCTTTAGCCGAGCACGCTTAAGTTATTCCTCCTAATAAACAGACACACGTTCAGCTCTGTCTCTTTATTCACCACCATCACTGTATTATTGTATCTGACGAGTTTTTATCAAACACCCGAAGGTAATATGTGGGGGCGGTGGAGATCGTGTCTGCAGCATTTGGGTTTTTAAAATGCTGAGAAAACAAAAAGAAAAAGTCAAAGCACCGTTTTCAGTGTAGATAAATGTAAGGTCATTATGCTAGTTACAGTGAACTGTGCTGCCCATCACTGCACAAAACGATAGAAACAGATGGTTAAAACAGAAGTTAAGACTCTCTGGGGTTTATCTTAAAGTTAGGACAGAATTTAGGAAATTCTGTCTAGTTACGACGTTTCTGTAATTCTGTTTTCCTATCTGGAGTTAATGATAAGATTATGAACTTAAGAACTGTTGTTCTGTAATAGCTTCTGTCCTAAATTCAGTCCTAACTGAAGTCGTCATGGTGACTAAACAGATAAGATAAGATTTCAGACTTAAGACGTTTCTGTAATATGGCCCCTGGTCTTGGAGCCCCCCCATGCTCCTGCAGACTTCAGCGTTATCCCTTCTCCAACACACCTGATTCAACTCATCAGCTTATAAATGACTCTTTCCAGATTTGACATCAGTGAGTTAAAGCAGGGAAAACACTTAAGGCTTTTCCAGTGCAGTATGTCCTGGTATTAGAACACACAATAACACTGAAATAGGGCTGGGCGATAAAGCGATAACGATAATAATCGCGATTTAACTTTTCCTCGATAGAGCGATACGACATGTTCGATAAATGTTCGATATAATACACCATTCTCACACTTCCACGTTCAGCGAAAGCCTTGGTGGCGTTTTCTACTGTAAGGAAAGCGACACTACTCTGCTGGTGCCAGGAGAGGGCGCACTTCTGAGTTTTTCTACATGATTAGAGAGGAAGGGGGCCACGAGTAAGATGAGTCTTTAGCAACGGCTGAAACGCGGAGTTATGCATTCCCTGTTTGAGTGGAGCGACCCGGTGATCTGCTCTCCTGTGACTGAGTGAGAGTGACGAGGTCAGTGGAGTAACTGTACTGTCCTACAGCGAACTCACCTCTTTCCTCACATCCTAACCAGCTTTAGCAGCGTTAAATCACAATCCTCACAACTACAGCGCTGTTACAGCGCTCGGACAGTCATAATTTAGTATTAGTGCATTCACAAGCACCGAAAATGAAAGAAAGAAGTGAGTTCATGTAAATTACAGCCCTGATTTAAACGAAAGTAAACTGAGGAAACTGAGGCATTGGAGAGCGGGAGAGCGCTAGCTTTCCAGGCTAGCTGTTTTTAGCAGCTGGCTAACTTGAAGCAGCGCTCCGTCACTCCACAACATGGAGAACTGATGATACTGTAGATCAAACACGACACAAAAGCACCGCTTTCAGTTTAAACGTACCTAAAAAGAGGACTCTGTTTGTCTGGTGTTGATATTCTGCAGTTCACCACTTAAACTACTACGATAGTATAGAGAAATCCAGTCGTCGCCAGTTGGTGTCTGAATACTGTGATGTCATTTGTAGCGGGGTAGCCGAGCGCTCGGCACCAGCTAAAAATAATCTGTTTTCTTTCTTAAATTATGACTATTACAAAATAGCCGTGCTTTTCCGGCTGGTAAAAACAGCTCAGCAGACACTTTCTCCCACTCTCCCATGACAGATTTGTGAAATGTTCCACTGTTTGCCGAGTGTTTGTCGTGTTCCGACCATAAAGGATAGTTTAAAACAGAGATTAACCACCCAGGACCAAAAATCAGCCTTCAAACTTGAAAGAAATAATGATTTGACATTTATCGCGGTATGTATCGATATCGAACGATATGAATTTTGTTTATCGTGATAACATTTTTGGCCATATCGCCCAGCTCTACACTGAAATCATATCAGCAAGAGCAGGATGTTTATGCGACGCTGTGTAGACTTAGTCCTTCCATAGATATACAAATGTTTTAATTTTATAAAACATTTCCTAATATTATACATATTTGTGTATCAGCAGATAGAAACATGAACAATATTGGCTTTGGCCCACAGTTCCCACACTGTTACATCCCTACACGGCATGATCACTAATCCAATTCAAGACCTATTCTTACCCTGAGTATATGTATCTGTTTATCATCACACAACTGTACCTGTGAAGGTAGGAGGGGTTTTCTGGAGGTTGTGCTGTGATGATATGATTTCCCCACACAACAATAGTGTTATCAGTAAACACACACAACAGTGGCGACACTGGAGGTTCAAGCTCTACCTTTCACTCTGCACTCTTGGTTTTATGTGAAAAGTCACAGACGACGACTCTGGCTTGCTTATTCTTATTTATTTATCTATTTATTTTTATTTTATTCTACTAGACCAGAGTTCTGTCTCGCAAAGAATTCCATTGTTAGCCAGCTAACGTTAAGATTAATCTCATATAACCTTGAATTTCTCTGGCTACATAAGCACACTGAACACTTAACCTGCAGGGAAGGTCAAGTTTGGGATTTTGGATGATAAACAGCTCTTGGACCTATCAGGACGTGCCTCTGACTAAGGCAAAGACTTTTCAGGTCACATGTTTCTTTCTGTAATGTATGTGGCATTAATCTCATTAAACTGTTGCTAGAGTAAAACAAACACCATGGTAGTGGTGACTGTGGTGCTTTCAGCATAATAAATGCTTTACTTTCTACTTATTAACACAGCATTAATACTAAATGTCATGCTGTTATGTGTATGTGCATGAAACTTAATCTCTGCCTGGGTAACTAAACCTGGCTTAACAGAGAAAGTCGTTAACTGTCACCATAAAACAAGTTAACCGCAGTTACTGGCCCCAGGGGTGTTACCCACGAAGGGCAGATGTGGCTGCAGGTTTTCTTCCAATCAAGCTCCTGCTTGATTAGAATGTAAACCAAAGAATAAAAAATGAAAATATCAGTGACCCCTGAATTAGGCTTTGTTCATACAGCAGCTAAAAGTGGCCCAAATCCAAAATTTCTTCATATGTGACACAGATGTGTGTCTGTGTGTCAGTGTGAGCAGCAAAAAACACATCTGACATTTCCAATTCCGATTTGAGACGCTTTCATATGTGGTACTGAAATCCGATACGTAACCAACATGCGGCAACGCGACGCAATCTGCATTTACACTGTTCAGTGTTACTGGTGTGTTAGTGTGTGTTGTGCTGGTACGAGTGGATCAGACACGGCACTGCTGTTGGAGTTTTTAAATACTGTGTCCACTTACTGTCCACTCTATTACACTGTTGGTCCACCTTGTAGATGTAAAGTCAGAGACGATAGCTCATCTGCTGCTGCGCAGTTTGTGTTGGTCATCCGCTAGTCCTTCATCAGTGGTCACTGGACGCTGCCCACAGGACGCTGTTGGCTGGATATTTTTGGTTGGTGGACTATTCTCAGTCCAGCAGTGACACTGAGGTGTTTAAAAACTCCAGCAGTACTGCTGTGCCTGATCCACTCAGACCAGCACAACACACACTAACACACCACCACCACATCAGTGTTACTGCAGTGCTGAGAATGATCCACCACCCAAGTAGTACCTGCTCTGTGAGGGTCCATGGGGGTCCTGACCACTGAAGAACAGGGTAAAAGGGGGCTAACAAAGTATGCAGAGAAACAGATGGACTACAGTCTGTAACTGTAGAACTACAAAGTGCACCTATATAGTAAGTGGAGCTGATAAAATGGACAATGAGTGTAGAAACAAGGAGGTGGTCATAATGTTATGCCTGATTGGCAGGAAAACATTGTTTGAAGCTTTCCCTCCTTGCTCCACCGGAACATTTGAATACGGAACGAACGTTTCATACATGGCATTGTGAACACATCTTCTGATTGGACAGATGCATCACGTTGGCCGAATTAATCTGCATAAAGTTCAGCTCGGCTCAACTTTTCGCTGCACCGCATCCCCCAGACTCAACACGCCAGACCCATCATGCACTGTGCGGCTACGTCTGGCGGAATCGATGCTTTCCACTGAAAACGAATGGGATATGTTGCAGTGCGTCGACGCGCCGGAGCAGCGTAAATGCAGCCTCAGTCTGAACAGCCAGATCGGAATTCACGCCACTTTTACGTCAATCCAGCTCGACATTCATCATAATTTTGCGCTGCTGAGACCACATGAACATTTAGCCTGATGTTTCTGTACCAAAGAATTAGAAAGACTTATAGCAACCGCTCTGTGTTCGGAAAGGTTTCGAATGAAGCAGCCGAACGCAGCCGTAAGAGAACGAGGCAGCAGGGTCCAAAGAAAAGACAAAAAAAAGAAAGAAAGCCAAAGAAGTGGCCGTGGCTGAATATTGTACCCTTTTTACGGCCAACTCGAACACATTCTGGGTGATGAGCCCAGCTGTCAACCATTGGAACTTCATAATCGCTCCTGTGATGCTGGCGAAGATGAAGTTGAAAGCTCCGGGAGCGACTGGCGTTCGTTCGTAGTCATGATTGTTTACCTCTGGATGAGCCACGTGAAGCAACCTGAAGCGATGTTATTTTGTCACATGTAGGTCACATTTAAAAGATATTGTGAGCAGCCAAACAAAAAAATTGGATTTGGTGAGAAAATCAGATTTGGACCACTTTTACCTGCTGTGTGAACGAAGCCTTAGTCCTATAAATGGTTTATACTATTTCTAGTTACATACATACATCCTGGCTTGGAACTCAGGTATTGTATGGTTCAGTTAGCAGTGGAAACGATGAAAAAACATATGATCACAGATTTGTAACTGTAACCGCATCACACTGCATTTCGGACAAACATGAACCAAAATGCGTTCACAAAACTGTGCAGGAAGATGTGTATAAACCAGTAGTTCCCAGTCCTGGTCCTGGAATACACCATCCTGCATATTTTGGCATCTTTCCTGATCCAACTAATACGCCAGCTAACAAGGTCTTCCTGAATTTACAGCAGGGAAAACACTAAAATGTGCAGGTCAAATGTGCTCTGGGACCAGAACTGACAACCACTGGTAAAAAAAAAACCATCCGGTCAAAATACTATGACCACAGATCCCTCATGGACATCAATAGTGGACTGTTCCTGGAGCTGAACTCACCAAGCCCACCCGGTGCAGCCAGCAGAAACTCCTCCCTGCCGATCCTCTTGACGATGGGCTTCCTCTCCTCGCTGTCGTAGGGAAAAAGGTCCTGCGAGGCACCTGTACTGTAGTTGAGGATCATGTACTGTGTGGGCAAAGCCAAACACAGGAAGTAGCCATCCACGCTGAGGGCGCAGGGCTGCTCAGGTGTGGCCACCTCCTTCAGTATCTGGACACGGTCCTCGTGCACAGTGCAGATCTGGACCGCCCGCCGTCGCGCCGACACCACCGCCATCTCCGCGCAGAACGGGTCAGCAGTTACCGGGTTCTCATTGATACAAAATGCGGTCACACCTTTCAGTTTGGCCCCGCCGGAGGGTACGGGCTCTAGAGTGACCATGTCCACTAAGGTGATAGTGGCATCACACAGGACGATGAGGCGCTCCAAAGCTGAGGCAGCCTTGAGCTCGGCCACAGGCTTCTTCAGACCCAGATACTTCTGTAGGAGCTTCTGGCTGCTGTAGGCCAGCCTGCCTTTGGTCGTGGTGCGCTCCTCCAACAAGAAGTGATAGATGAAGCAGTCGGTGGTGCCCACATACAGGTGCTGCCCGCAGCATTCGATGCACTCGATGGTGATGCGCACCTTCTCGCCCATCAACTGCTCCCGCTCCACGGCGGAGACCAGCTCGAAAGCCTTCACACTCATGCTGCCGTTCACATCTGCTTGGAAAGAGGTGAGAGAAACAAAACAACCAGTTTACATGTGTTTATGCACACTAGCTGGCTTTCATTTTATGGGTCCAAACATTGTAGTTCTTCAGGTACAGACTGTAGTCCATCTGTTTCTCTGCATACTTTGTTAGCCCCCTTTTACCCTGTTCTTCAGTGGTAAGGACCCCCATGGACCCTCACAGAGCAGGTACTACTTGGGTGGTGGATCATTCTCAGCACTGCAGTAACACTGACATGTTGGTGGTGTGTTAGTGTGTGTTGCGCTGGTTTGAGTGGATCAGACACAGCAGTGCTGCTGGAGTTTTTAAACACCTCAGTGTCACTGCTGGACTGAGAATAGTCCACCAACCAAAAACATCCAGCCAACAGCGTCCTGTGGGCAGCATCCTGTGACCACGGATGAAGGACTAGAGGATGACCAACACAAACTGTGCAGCAGCAGATGAGCTATCGTCTCTGACTTTACATCTACAAGGTGGACCAACAAGGTAGGAGTGTCTAATGGAGTGGACAGTAAGTGGACACAGTGTTTAAAAACTCCAGCAGCACTGCTGTGTCTGATTCACTCAGACCAGCACAACAAACACTAACACTGCAGTGCTGAGAATGATCCACCACCCAAATAGTACCTGCTCTGTGAGGGTCCATGGGGGTCCTGACCACTGAAGAACAGGGTAAAAGGGGGCTAACAAAGTATCAAGAGAAACAGATGGACTACAGTCTGTAACTGTAGAACTACAAAGTGCACCTATATAATAAGTGGAGCTGATAAAACGGACAATGTGACCATGTTATGCCTGATATGTTGCTTATTATGCTAATAATAACAAAACAACATCCAAGCAGAGGCGGACTAAGTTAGCCAGCCAGCTAGCTGTATCTACTGCACCTGACCTGAGTGTAGCTATCTGGCTACACCAACCTGTAGCAAATCTCCACATCTTAGCAGCTCATATACAAAGCCGAGGCGATTATTCACGATATATCGTTACCTATTCTGTCTTTTCCTCTCCAGCTCGGCTCACAAAATCCTTCTCACAGTTTGGTCAGAGACGAAATGTTCAGCTAACAGCTAGCTGGGTTAGCTAGGCGGCTAACAAAACAAACCAAAGCACTAGCCTGTAGCTAACACAGGCTAACGCAACATGAAAAGACATTAATCTGCCAATAAGTGAACCTTCGTCTTTAATAAAACACCGCAGACAGTCGAGCAGCCTCGACACAAATGTACCCGAACTGCTGCTTGGGATCGGCAGGGGCTGTCAGCTAATGCTAACCGAAGCAGCGCAGCGGTTCAGCCTAACAGCCGCTGCTGTTCGGCGCTGGAGGTTTAAGGGGCAGCGCTGAAAGGGGAGACGGGAGAAAAGCCAAAGCAGCTTCGTACCCCAGCCGTGGGAGCCACGGTCCCGTCAGGAGAAGCTCCACCACTCCTGGGCCTCCCTGTTTTCTCCACTACTCTCCACTACTCTCCTCTCCTATCCTCTCCTCTCCTCTCCCCGCCCTGCTGCTGCTGCTCGCCGCCGCAGCACATCCGCTCATGTGATAAAGTTCCGTCTGGATTTGATCCCGTACGAATGAATAGGAGCTCGAGGCCGAATCGTTTTAGGGTTTAACATCCCAAATTCAACACTGGACGAGTAAAAATGTTAGTAATGGTAGTTAAAAAAAAATGTCATGTGAAAATCAGAACATGTCAAAATTAAACTTTTAACCCTTACAGAAAAAAATCACTTTCGCTTATGAACGTAATGACGTGTTATTCAGTCACTGCACACGATATTTAGTGGGTGTAACGTGTTGAAACGTGACACACCCAATGTCCATTTTATCAGCTCCACTTACTATATAGGTGCACTTTGTAGTTCTACAGTTACAGACTGTAGTCCATCTGTTTCTCTGCATACTTTGTTAGCCCCCTTTTACCCTGTTCTTCAGTGGTCAGGACCCCCATGGACCCTCACAGAGCAGGTACTATTTGGGTGGTGGGTCATTCTCAGCACTGCAGTGACACTGATGTGGTGGTGGTGTGTTAGTGTGTGTTGTGCTGGTACGAGTGGATCAGACACAGCAGTGCTGCTGGAGTTTTTAAACACTGTGTCCACTCACTGTCCACTCACTGTCCACTCTATTAGACGCTCCTATCTTCTTGGTCCACCTTGTAGATGTAAAGTCAGAGACGATAGCTCATCTGCTGCTGCACAGTTTGTTTTGGTCATCCTCCAGTCCTTCATCAGTGGCTGGATATTTTTGGTTGGTGGACTATTCTCAGTCCAGCCGTGACACTGAGGTGTCTGATCCACAGTTTAACACTGTGTGTGTGGACCTTCACTTTATTCCTGAAACTAAAAAAGCAAATGTGTTTCTTTTTCTTTCTCTCTTTCATAAAGAATTCATCTCTTCATCACTACTTAAAGTACTATAATTCTTGGAATGAAGAGTCCTCAGTTAATTCATCTTCAGTTGCTACGATAAGCTTTGTAGTTATAACAAATAACCTGTAAATAAGGTAAGGTAAACAGGGACAGAAAACGTAAAACACATGACACCATCATTCATCTTGATCAACATCACAAAGTCTTTTTCTTGGAGTGGCTTTTTAATGTTCAATTTTCCATGTAGACCACCAGAGGGAGCCAGAGATCAGATTTATTATAAGGACCCTAACACCGCATGCAGGCTCTAAAACTGTGTGCTCTAAATCAGAGATCCCGATTCCAGTCATGCGACCCCACAATATACAGAGATTAGTGCTTTCCCTTATCTAGCACACTCAGTAACTCATTAGCAAGCTCTTCATATGCTGAGTGCAGAACAGGAAATATACAAAAACACTGCTTTTCTACACTGGCTGCATCCAAAACTTCATAACACCATATCATACATACTACTATTTCTGAATTTAACACTGTATAGTCATAACATTGTATGTATAGATCTAACACTGTATGTATGGTACCTAATACTGTATATATGTACCTAACACTGTATGACACACAGTGTGAGGGCTATATGCAGAGTGTTAGCACCATATATACAATGTATATGTTGTCCTAACACTGTATATATAACCCTAACACTGTATGTATAGTCCTAACACTGCATGTGTGGCCCTTTCACTAAATATATAGTCCTAAAACTGAATCTGTAGTCCTAATTCAGCATGTATGGCCTTTACACTGTGTGTATAACCCCAGAACTGTATGTATGTCCCCCACACACCACGTATAACTCTAACACTGTATATATAGCCCAAGCACTGTATAAATGACCTTGACACTGTATGTATAGTCCTAACACTTTATGGACAGCCCTAACACTATATGTATGGCCTGATCCCTGCATGTATAATCCTAACACTGTATGCACTTCCCTAACATTGTATGTATGACCTTAACACTATGTATAGTCCTAACACTCTATGCACAGTCCTAACACTATATCTATGGCCTGAAGACTGTGTGTATAATCCTAACACTGTATGTATGGCTTTAACACTGTTTGTATAGCCCTAACATAGCATGTATGGCCCTAACACTGTGTAGTCACAACATTGTATGTATAGACCTAACATTGTATGTTTGGTCCTAACACTGTATACTCCTAACACTTGGTCATAATACTGTATGGCATACAGTGTGAAGGCTATACATAGAGTGTTAGGACTATATATACAGTGTATATATTATCCTAACACTGTAAGTATAGTCCTAACACTGCATGTGTGGCCCTAACACTAAATATATAGTCCTAAAACTGAATATGTAGTCCTAACACAGCATGTATGGCCCTTACACTGTGTGTATAACCCCAGCACTGTATGTATGTTCTCCTCACACTACACATAACCCTAACGCTGTATGTTCAGCCCTAACACTATATGTAAGGCCTTAACTCTGATGTACAGCCCTAACACTGTATGCATAGCCCAGACACGTTATGTAAGGCCCTAACACTGTATGGATAGCCCAAACACTGTATGTATAACTCTAACAGTGTTTGTATTGCCCCAACACTGTATGTATAACTCCAACACTGCATGTAAGGCCTTAACACTGTATATAAGGCCCTTACACTGTATGTATAGCCCTAATACTGTATGTATAATCTAAACACTGTATGTAAGGCCCTAACACTGTATGTATAACCCAAACACTGTATGTAAGGCCCTAATACTGCTTTTTATAGCCCTAACACTGTATGTATAACCATAACACTGGGTGAATAGCCTGTTATACCGCTTACATAGCCTAAACACTGTACATACATAACCTTAACACTGTGAATACAACCCTAATACTATATGCACAGTCCTGATATTGTATATGTGGCCATAACTGCATATATATTTCTAACACCAGTTCTGTATTTGTAGGCCTAACATTGTATGTGCAGTGACATCTGTTTATTCACATTCATTGTATGTGTATATGGTGAAAACCCTTTGAACACCTAATGTTTTTATAGGCTTCAGGGATATTTCAGCAGCCAAAGTGGTTTGATGTTTGTACTCAGTTATTAAGAGGAATGTGTCTGGAATAGCAAGTGGAAAGTAACTTGATGTGTCCCATCTGTTTCAGTCAGAACATCTTTTTATTCATGATAGAAGACACTGGTCAGAATAGGCCTTAGTCCTCCTGGCCAGCTGTAACAAAGCTGTAAAATTTATAGACAAGCTTGTTTCCCTGAATTGTCACAAATGGATCTGGGTTTTGGAGATACGAACATGTCCTTCTGCTTTTCCCTCTCCTGTAAGCACTGCGCTGCACAAGAATGTGCTAAAAGTGCGTTATATTATCTTTCGTGTGACACTTCTGTGGATGGATGCCTCCTCTGCTTGTATTTCACCAAAGCGCTGCAGACTAGTGAGCCATAATATCATTATTATCCATTAAGCTGTCTTTTTAAAAAATGTCTGAGATCAGCTGATGCACATTGCACATACTTAGATAATATAAGAAACATCTGTGATGACGGAGATCTAAGAAAAACCCAAAACAGCTTAGAGCATTGATTATTTTATTGACAGCATTAGTATACATGACATATGATGGTGGAGAAAACTGTTAGTGTCTATATGTCTCCATGTATATCTGCAAAAATAAGAAATATCTTCATTCAAAACTCAGCAAAATAGTTTTTCATCATAAAATCTATCACACGTCATACATTACTTTTATTTGGCACACCTTCAAACCATTCAGATCATTTCACCATTATCTTAATGACATTATCCTGATATAATAAGGTAATTATCTAGAAAAAGAAGACACATTTGAAACTTCCAAAGAGATTTAATAGATACGTCTAATATTTGACAAACAGTTAGGCTGTGTAGCTTTGTGGTTGGGTTAAAATAGCTGTAGGACGTCAGTCATGTATTATCTCATGCAGTCAGCTGATGCACTGGTGCTGGAAGGTTCTGCAGATGACCTTCGCTCAGATATCCTTGCCACACTCAGGGCACAGGATGTCATCCCTCTCGGTCAGAAAGCCACGGCCCACCAGAGACACGGAGCATTTCTTGCAGTTGAAGCAGTCGTTGTGCCACTGGCGCTCCTCAAAGGAGATGTACTTGCTGCCACCAAGGCCTGTAATTTTCACATGACAAGGAAAATTGGTAAAGTCATTCGTTCATTTGACACTGATCAACGCCAGAGTAAAATAACTACAATTAACAGTCACATCAACACATGACGGCTCTCTGCTGGCAGTACTGACAGGTACAGGTTAGATTAAGAGACAGTCTGGCCAAAAGAAAAAACATAACCATGGCTTCGTCTGTTATAAACACGCTACTCACAAACTACAGAGGTGCCATTATAGTCTCTAGAGTGAGATTTTCTGGTTTAAAGACTAGGAAAACCCCCTTCTGATGATGTAACTCAAAGGTTTAAACACTCCTGGTCAAATTACATGCTTTGTTGTAAAAAATAAAGTAAAAAAAAAAGTTAACACATTGGTCTAATCCCATTTCACCCCTTGCCCCTACCACTTAGCCCTTCACTTTTAGGGGTAGGGTGTCCCGATGAAGTGTTAGGGCTACATGACCCTCCAAACGGAGGTTTTCAGAGACTCCCTCCAAACAGAGTGAAAAACCAGCAAGATGGCTGCACGAGCGACCAAAGAAACACACAAATGTGAGAATTTCCTCTGTTAAAAAATTACGATAACCACTGTATTATCTTAGTTCAACGTCATTTCAATGTATTATGGTTCTTTTCTTCATAATGAGCTAAAAAATCGCTAGTAGTATGTTAATTTCTCAGTAGCTAACTAGCTAATTTTCCTGTTCCACCTTAAATGGTGCAGCAGTTACATTCTGGTGGCTGAGGCGTCAAAACTGCTGCTCCATTTAAGGTGGAACAGGAAAATTCAAACAAGAAGCAGGTGAATATCTGACTTCAGCTTCATATTACTGAAGAATTAGGGCACACATCACTGAATTTTAGCGCCCAATTTCTGTTTATTTACTGAGCTCAACATTTAGGAAAAAATAAAACAGAAAATCTGAAATGTTCCATAACTTTTGCAGAGGCCACATTTTATGTTTTAATTTTTTTTTAAATATCACGCTCATCGGCCCATAAAGCTGCTAAGACTATGCTGGTCACTTTCTCACAGGTAATTCAACACAGTGCCTGACAGGTGAGCGTGTTGCTTAATATTGAATTGAGAAAGTGACGATGGAGGATCACTTTCTATAAGCACAAACAATG